GTGTGTGTGTGTGTGTGTGTGTGTGTGTGTGTGTGTGTGTGTGTGTGTGTCTCAGGGAGGTCGGAGCAGGGTTGGCGGCCATCCAGCTTCCGTGGAGAAACGTTTGCCTCTTTAAGTCTTGAACGCATGTTACTTGGATACATATGCAAACTAAACACCAAAAGACAGATACTTTTGCAAATTTGACAGGTGCCAAGCGCTTCACGGGTGACTGGTCCGACACTGCCTTCCTCGCCCCTGAGGACGAGCATCACCAGGGCTGTGTTCTCGGAACTCAGCCCGAGCGGCCGGGGAGGTGGGACGGTGTGAGCCTGGGGCCGGACCTGCTCTGGGTCCTGCACTGTCAGTTACTGTGTGATGTCATGGCAGTGACGTAAGCTCCGTTTCTCTTGCCTGCGAACGCGACAGTGATGCTCACCTTGCAGGGCTGCTGGAGGGTCAACTAGAAGATTCCGGTAAAGTGTCTGCCGTGTACAAGAGCCAGTGTTAGCTCAGGGATCAGAGGCTCGGACTCTTCCAGGAGCAAGAGGCTGTAAGCGGGTGGTGGGTCGGGGGGCGGTGCAGGGCCCACACTGGGTACATGGGACCTGCTGTCCATAGGCCCAGTGGCCAGGGCACCCCGTGGCCAGAGCCTGGGTGTCCGCCGTCCTGGATCCTCCCGTGTCACCCACTCCAGTCCCAGACAGCTCCCCACGGCCTCCCCAGAACATTTGCCCACTGTTCATAGAGGCGACACCACCACCCCCCCGCCTTGCACTTGGACTTGGGCTTATCTCTTTCATGGGGTTTCACGCCCGAGTCACAGGAGCAAGAGTGCGAGACCTGAGCTCTAGGTCAGAAACCATGTTCCTGGGGACTGGCAGGCCGCCACTGGCCTCTTGCTCATGGAGTTACTGGAGAGAATTCCTGCGCATTTCCGACCACGGTCTTTGAGACCGTTTTCCCCGCTCTGGAAACTCCGGATGGGACTTTTCTCGAGTCCCCGAGAGCTGGATCGTGAGGAGGCCGAGAGGCTGTGTTCCGGGGTGGATCGTTCTGCTTTTTCTCCATTGTGCTGGATGCCAGCAAACCCTTCCAGTCCAGACGTTTCAGTCCCTCTGTCGGAGAGGCACCCTCTTTGCTTGAAGGTCTCCTCTCTGGTCCCTCTGAGCTCTCCGGGTCTCCTGGTGTTTGGATGTTGGATTTTCGGAGCTTTAGAATAGGGAGAAGTTTTCCTTTTGATGTAGGCACATCTATTAGCTTTCTTTCCCCTACAGATTTTGCTGTTGATTTCATCTTTAAAGTATTCTTCCCAACCCCCAAATTATATAACCAGCTCCATTTTTAATGTTGGCAAGAGCAACTTTGTAATAAGGCTCGTGCTGTTTTCCTTCAACTGACTCCACTCCACTGTGGGCAGCGCACGTGAGTTTTCGTAGGGTGAATCAAGGAGAGAAACAATGTATTGGTTACAAAAAGAAGAAAGACAACCCACATAATCTATTTTATCCAGAATTTTATTAACAGCAAGATTCTGTTTTCCTTCCTTCCTTCCTTCCTTCCTTTCTTTTTTAAAGGTTTTATTGTTACATAATCTTTACACCCAGCGTGGGACTCGAACTCATGACCCCAAGATCCAGAGTCCCCTGCTCCCTCAGCCGAGCTGGCCAGGAGCTCCGAGATTCTGGTTTTTAAATGTCGAAACAAGTATTTTCTTTTCAAAAGTTAATAAAACCCGTAAGAAAAAATGTTAAAGGATAAGCAAGCAGAAAGGGCTCCCAGGCCCTCAGTAAATGCAACAGAAAAGCCAAAGAAGTTTTCAGATTATTTCCAGACACAGGGATGTGGGACCCCGTTGCTGAAGGGGTGGCAGGTAGGAGAAGGAGGGCAGCGGAGGTGATGAGCCCTGGAGCCTGCGGGTCGGAGTGGGGGGAGCGGGACCCGACTGTGCTGGGCTGGGGCTGGGGGCGCGGCTCACGGGGAGAGCTGCTTGGATTCCCAGGCAACAGTTTCCTCCCGGGGTCCTGGTGGGCGCTGGCCCGGGAGACCAGGCCCGGCCCCTGGGGGCTGCTGGGCTCTGGGTGGAGGCCAGAGCTGACTGCAGGGAACAGCGATGCCATCACCAGGGTCCCCCTGGACTTCGACTGGCTCCCGGCTCCTGGCACTGGAGAGGCACTGGGAACAGAAGCCTTTGTGAATCCTCATGAAGGGGAAGGGGCCTGTTTCCCGAGCACCTGGCTGCCTGAGGAAACAGCTCCGGGGGGAGGCGCTGCAACACAGCGGCCCCCATGATGACCACAGCCCACACTGGCCATCTGGGGAGTTAGAGCATGCAGCGGCCAGGGACCCGAGTGCCACAGGCAGGCCTGGCCAGGCCCTGACACCTGCATGTGTGGGGCCCTCGGCAGAGGACGTGGACTGTGTGCTCTGCACTTCTCCACCTGCACGCCCGGGAGAGTGGTGACCTCTACTTCACCTTGGGAGCAAGACGTCTCGAGACATCGCATGTAGGGCATGGGGCACGCACAGGGACTTGGGTTCGGTGTTCCACTTGGGCCTCCGTCTGTTTACTGTTCTCACTGCCCAATGGGCTGCTGGCGAGGCGGTGGACATCGATGGCTCAGGACTCCCCGGGGGGATGGCTGCTGGGACCCCCACACTGCTGTCCCTTTCCGTGGGGCGGACCACCCTCCCAAGCTCGGGCAGCTGGTGCTGTGCATCAGAGATGGGGACAAACTGGCCCGAGTCTCCGGGCTTCCGCAACAACGCCAGTCAGGCCTGGGCCGGCGGCTCAGCGACCCTTCCAAGGCAGGCGTCCCTTGTGTCTCCCAGCGGGCACTTAGTCCTGTCCCACGGGGGGTGGGGGGTGGGGCAACCTTGCTCAGCAGTCTGGCCCCTACACCAGAATTTAGAATGACTTTTGCAACTCTGGTGATGTACTGGAGTGGAAGGGACCCGCCAAAAAAGTTCCTTTAATCTGGGGAGACCTACCTCCCTGTCAAGGTCACAAACATGCAGGCCCGGGACAGTAAGCCCAGAGCCGGGCCTGACCCACAGATGAGCTCCCCCTCATGCACAGGGGAGGGTCCCCGCCAGAGACTGCCGCTTAGAATGCATCAGTGGGTAGAACACAGATTTCCTGCCCATGCAGTTCACAGTCTGGTGTGTGCTCGGCCCCACGCTAACCAGGGCTGAGAAGCATCTCCAGGCTAGGCTGCTCACTGAGAAAAAGCCAGGGGCCGCTGGAGCGGAGCGTGCTGCCCCAAGCGTCCACACTCGTTTCCTGGGAGGATTCATGGGAAACTGAGGCAGAAATGGCCCCCTGGGAAGGAGCACCGAGGGGCCGGGGATGACCCACTTTGGGAGGAGGGGTACTTTTCACTGTGTGTAAAGGTTGAACGTTTACCCTGTGCTTGCCTGACCCCCAGAACACAAAGCACAACGAAGACACTAGAACATAAGCTCTTTGGTTTGCCCCACAGGCCTTCAAACGACTTCATCCTCTTGCCAGAGACTTGCAACCTGGACACTAGTGACGTTCGCGCTGGACAACCCCTTGCAGTGGGGGCTGCCCCAGGTACCGTGGGAGGGTCAGTGGCATCCCAGGCCTCTACCCACCGGGTTCCCGTGGCACCTCCCCCTTGGCTGTGACGACCAAAAATGTCTCCAGACATTGCAAAATTCCACGGAAGTGAAATCACCACTGGCTGAGAACATCCGTCCTAGAAAACCCGTGAAATGGGGCGTGGGGACCCGCATCTGCGTTAGCCGGATACGACAGTCGAGGCCCACAGTTTTCATTAAATTAAAAAAAATTGTGTGCCTCATTTTACCATTGTTACCTATTTGTTTATAACCGTAAACAGACCAGGCTCTGCTCTGCTCACTACCTTTTAAGCAACCTGTCAATATATACATGGAAACATAGAAGCGGAACACTGCCAGCTTCTCCTTCAATTGGGTGAGTTTCTGGTCACCTCTTAGCGAAGTTAAATCTCCCTGGGGGTGTTGGGCCGCCTCGCACAGTGATCACTGAAACTTAAACTACCAAGGTTGGGGTGGGGGAGTCTGTAATTGGACCTTCTGGACAATTACAACAAACATGCTGAAATATCATCTCTCTTGTTTGGTTCAAAACATACTCTTTGCTCCCCGAATTTGGAGTTGGCCTTGTCTTTCTGGCTGGGTTATGCCCACGTCCCGAGGGCAGCACTGAGCTCACTGTGTCTTTGCATCCCGTGCTGTCCAGCCTGGTTTGTGAGGAGGGGCGCACGGGATAAAGGTCAGGACCCGGGACTGGAGTGGGAGCAGGCGGCACTGCTGTCAGCCGTCAGAGAGGCCTCCGGTCAGTCTCGGTGGCTGGCCGCAGGAGGCAGGGTGGCAAGTTGCGGGGCTGGCCAGGGAGGGCTGTGTGTCCCCTCACAGGGTCGTCTTGGTTTCTTGGGTGTCCTGTGCTGGGGCCTGCGTCCCGCAGGCGAGTACGACCCGACGTTGCATCTCGTGGTGGTGGGTCCGCAGACCCACAAACAGACCGCAGGCATTCTGTGTGATGGGTGCCATGACTGGCGGCGCAGTGGGGGCTCTCGGAGCGCGGAGAAGGGGGAAGGGGAGACTGCCCGTGAGCGCTGACGCGGTCAGCGTCTGCAAGGATGAATCTCGGGTGTACCAGGTCTATGCCCACCTTTACCCTCCACTGCACGTGGCTGGCTCGCATCACTCCGGCATCACTCGGGTTGCTCCGCTCAACCGGCCCGTCCTCAGGTACCCTCCCCAACCGTCCTCCAGTCTCCCAGCTTGACCCCCCCACCCCCACCCCCCGCAGCCCCTCTCAGCGGGGGGCCTCGTGTCCATGTGTGTCTGCTATGCCCGTGGTCTGGGCGCCTCTTTTGGAGCAAGGCTCTTGACAACAGATACTCTGTCTGTGTTGTTCACTGACTTCCCCACATCTGCAGGGTGAGGAGGAGACGGGGCCTGGCCGATGAGTGTGGAGTGGAGGAGTGGGGTGGGGGGCATCTCTAGAATGCTCAGGGCAGGCCAAGATGAGGACTGAGCAGGGTCTAGGGGCTCGTGGACCAAACGGAGGCTGGAGGAAGCGTGAGCCTGGGGAACTGACAGGAGGGGAGAGGTTCACATACCCCCTGGAGAAGAGGGACTGAGGAGAGAAGCAGAGCGGGTCCTGGAGGGGTGTCCCGTCCACGGGGGAGCAGTATCAGTGTCTTTCAAAGGAGGGAGGCCAGAATGCTTCCAGATGGAGGGTCAGCAGCGTGGGGACCAAGGAAGGAGGGGGCCCCTGGAGCACGGTCCCTGGGGAAGAAGGAGGGAACGGTAGAAGCATTTGTTTCCAACCGCTGGAGGGTCCAGATGAGGGGAAGCTCATGGGTGCCAGGCACAGGCTTAGTGCACGGGGTGAGATGTGTGTGTGGCTGGATGCAGCGGCCTGAATGGTCCCTGTCATGGGAGTGAGGGGGATAGAAGGGGGTTGGGTGGGAGCCAGAGGTCAAGCAGTGGATGTAGCTAGGAAGGCAAATGGGTGAAGCCGGAGGGGGTGATGGGGGGACAGGAAGAAGATGACTTGGGATCAGAGGAAGAACCCATAGAGTGTGATGAAGAGGGTGGTCTGGGGAGGGTGGGAAAGTAGCAGGGTCAGGTGTGAAGGTCTGGCCCCCTCCCTCAGGTTTCCAATGTGGGACAGTTGGGGATGACAGCCTAGGCTGTGGGCCTGGGGGCTGGTGGCAGAGGTGGATGAAAGGTCTCTGGGAAATGAGGGCGTCAAGGAACTGAGCAGCCACGAACTCCCTGTGTCCTGGAAGGACAGTAGGGCTAAGGGTGCAGGAGCTGGGAGTGAGCTTCCAGGAACGACGGAACGTTCCTGGAAGGGGAGGATGACAGCGAGGAGTGTGGGTCTCGGAGGCCAGGGGCGGGAGGCTACCCCCGCCCAGCCCGGGGAACTCCAGGAGGTCCCTGTGTAGGGGACAGGGTGAGTGGAGGCTGGAGTGTCCTAGGACCAGGCTCCGGAGAGCACAGGAGGAAGGGCTGCGGCTACTGAGGACAGATGGCGGGGCCTGCGCCCACGGGACCCCGCTTTAGCCAGCGCTAACCCAACGGCCGGGCAGGAGAATGGACACTGTGGCTGCGGGACTGGCCTCACGTGGGAGCCACCGCCCACCGGCCAGGCCACTCTCCTGGGCCGGCTTTAGAGTAGGGTCCACGAGGGAGTCCCCCGGGGGACCTCCGGACCCCTTTTCCCAGGGGGTCCAGCCTGTTCTGGGAAGAGCGACATTCCGGAAATTCCGGCTCGTAGGGGGGCTTGGAGGGTCGCGGCCGGGAGGGCCGGCTCGGCTCTGCCGCCAGAGGGCGCCTGCGGCCGGGAGGGCGGTCACGGCCGTCGGGGGGCGCCGCGCGCGCCCAGCCGGGACCCGCCCCCAAACCGCAGCCGGCGGGGCCCGCGGGGCGGGGGGGCGGGGCCGAGCCGGGGGGGCGGGGCGGCGGGAGGGGCGGGGCAGCCCGGCCGCGCGGCCCCCCCCCGCCCTCCCTCGCTCCTCTCTTATCCTCTCTCTCTTTCTTTCTTTCTCGCCGTCGGGCTCTCGGTCCCTGGAGCTCCTGCGCCGCCGAGGGGGCGGGCCCTGCAGCCTTTGTTGCCGCAGGCCGGGTCCTGACGCGGGAGCTGCGCGCGGGCCGGGCATGTCCTGAGCCAGACCCGGACCGGGCAGCGAGCGGACGGGACGGACAAGAGCGCGCGCGCGGGGTACCCCCCGGCGCCGCCCGCCCCGGCCATGCCCGGCCGCCCGAGCGCTCGCAGCGCCCGCAGCCCCCGCAGCCCCGCGCCGCGGCTGCGCCCCCTGCTCCTGCTGCTCTGCGCCCTGGCGCCCGGCGACCCCGGACCCGCACCAGGTGGGTGGCCGCCTTTCCCCGCCGGCCGGCCCCGCGCGCCCCCCGCGCACCCCGGGGGCTCTAGACCGGGCGGGGCCGGGGGACAAAGCCGCGCACCCGGCGGCCCCCTGCCCGTGCCTGGAGGCAGCCCCTCCGTCCTCGGGCGTACCGCGCGGGGCCCCTCCGGGGATGGTCCGCGGGGCTGCACGGAGCGCGGTCTGCGCGCGGAGGGCTCCGTGTCGAGCCTCGTCGGCGCCCGGTCCGAGAGCAGCCCGCCGGGACGCCGCGGGCCGGGGCGCGGGGTCACAGCTCGGGGCTGCGGCGAGCGGTCGGCGGCGCGGGGGCCCGGCTCGCGCGCCCCCAGCACTTCCTGCCTCCCCTCCCCGGAGTGTGCAGACGCCCGAGCGCAGCGGAGGGGAGCTTCTCTCCCGGCCCTGGGCTCGGCTCTCCCTGCCCCGCCCGGCCGGCCTCCGACGAGCCTCTGGCCGGCGTCCAGGCCTTCCTCGGCCGCGGAACTCCAGGCGCGTCCGAGGCAGCCGGCCTGGGATTTTAGGAGCCAAGGGTCTAGGAGACCCCCGGCCCCGCTCCCAGGGAGACCCTGGTCTGATGGGGGTTGATCAGATAGCTTTGAGAGCCATGCTGGCCAAGCGGTCGGGAAGGCTTTGTAGGGGAGGAGAGGCCAGAGCCAGGAGGGACGGGAGATGGATGAGCTCGGGGTGGGCTGGAGGGAGTGGGGACGTCCCTGCCGCGGGGCGTGGGCCGCATTAGGTCTGCGTGCTGGGGATGGGGGACTCTTGCCTCTCCAGCACAGAGACTGAAGGGAAAAGCATCTGGGGCCGGAGTCTAAGGAGGCATTTAAACCAGATCTTAGAGGTTTTGGGGAGCCCTTGAGGGGAGTAGCTCATGGGTGCGGGGGTTTTAGGGAGGTTTCCTCTAGCAGCAGGGTATAGGGGGTGGAGAGGGAGCAAATATTTAATGCACTCTTATTTCTCACCCTCTCTACAACAGGCCTGCAAGGCAGGTGATAGAAAGTTCTTTCAGGATCCAGGGGAGAGGCTCGGAGAGCGTGCCCTGCCAGGTTGGGCTCCTTAGCTACTGTGTGAATCCTGTTTTCCACCTGCCCAGAGCCGGGTCGTGAGGACCGACCAGGTGATAGGGATGAGGCAGCAGGAAGTGGTTGCTCCAGGGAACAGTCCCTGAGCCCTTACTGGGGTCCAGGCCCCCTGGCAGTGGTGGGAGGAGTGGGGGGGAGGGGTCAGGACCCTCTCCACTTCCACTGCAGGCCAGCCGGTGTATGAGCTTGGCAGAGCTCCTGCCGCTCCAGGGCCGTAGTTAAGTGGGGAGAACGGTGTTTTCCCCAGCAGGGTTCTTGGGAGGATCCAGATGCTGGGTATCAGTTCTTAGCCCAGGGTAGAGTGACCGCCGCTGAGACCCACCGAGACCAGGGAGACCCTGCGGAGTCCTGTGGTTCTGGCCTGCTGTTTGAGCTTACCTGACAGAGCCGGTACCTTCTCTTGCCTTATTGGCCCTCCGCACTCCTGGGGGAATGTCTGTTCCGCTAACCCCTAGGTATACAGCATGGGGACCCCCAGCTGCCCCCACTCAGGATGCCTGAGCTGTGTGTCATTTTCTTTGGAGCTGACCCAGGAGTCCTAGACCAGGGGCCCTACCCTCTCAGCACTATCTTCTTTGAGACCAAAAGGGCCTATCTTGGACTCACTTTTAGGAAGTGTATCCTGACTTTTTCTTCTGTGACAAATCAAGGAGCTTGTGGGGGTTGATGGGACTGGGGCCCAGTAATGTCCCCATCCTCATTGCTGAACGGCACGCATGAGCCCAGTGTGCATGCTGGGCACGCGCAGGCCGGCTGGGGGACGCGCGCGCACCCTGGTTATTTTTTCCTTTGACATGAGCATGGGGTCAGGTCGTTTGAAGGGCTGGACTGTGACTCAGGTTTTTGATAGAGAGGGAGGGTAAACACGTTGGCATTCCCTGGTAGAAGCTGCAAAGTGACAGTTCTGTCACCGAGGGATGATACTCCAAGTACTTAACGCCCGCTGTGGCAGGGGCTCCGTCCGTTGGGCACAGGGCTCCTACCCAGCAGGCTCGCTGCCCGGTGCCTGCAGCCGTGCTCTCGCTCAGCCCTGCGCACCCACGGAGCCTGGAGCCACAGGTAGGCCCTGCCAGCCCTGGGGGGCTCAGAGTGTCAGCCAGTCTCTGCTGGGGGTCGGCTGTAGACAGTGGACAGCCTGTCTGCTTCGTAACTCGCCTGCCCCCCTTTATAAACCATTTTAATGGCAAAACAACATAAGTTACAAAAAAGATGAGAGCAGAGCAAAACCAGAAAATAAAAGTTATTGTGGAGTGATAACTTCCTGTAAGTCTTTCTTTTTCTTTTTTTGATTAAAAAGCTCTTTCTTAAGCCATTAGGCAAAGAGAGAAAACAGGCTTTTAGGAAATCACGGAGAGCCCTTTAGAAGCTCGCGTGCTAACTCTGGGTTATAGCTTCGCTCCCGATGGCTCAGTGCGTCTCCGGTTCCCAGCACCTGCGTGGGAGCTCGTTCCACTCACAGCCCAGGGGAGCAGGTGCAGTGGTGGTGGCCCCCATCCGACAGGTGGAGAAGCAGGTGGGGCGGTTGAGTTACTCAACGGGGGGCTCACCGCTGCAGTGGCTGAGCTGAGATTCAGACCCACTGTCTGGAGGGCGCGCGAGCCTCATGCCTTTGACCTGCCTTTCGGTCACCTTTCTGAACCGAATAGGCTGCTTCTTTACAAGTCACCTCGAATTTCTGTCTTGCGCGGTTTGCCCAAGGTGGACAGCAGGGATTCCCAGCAGGGCCGCATGTCAGGGCTGGGCAGGGTTCCCTCCCCAGGGACACTTGCTTGGAGTTCTTGGGGTCACTTCTCTGCCGCCGTTCAGAATCCCCCCTGTCATTCGCACCCATGACCCCCTGCCTGATGCCCCAACACGCTGCTCTTGCCAGGAGTGAGCCACACGGCAGCCATTCCTCGGGGACCCGAGCTCTTCGGGCCGGCCCCCACGCCCCCTTACCTTCGGCTGGCTTTAGCGGCCTGGGCGGGGGTGGCCCATGCCCGGGGCGCCGCTGGGAATGATACTGAAAATGGAGTTTTGGGACATAGCCGCTGTGTCATCCCTCTACCTTTGTCCTTCTGCTCACGGCCCTGGGTTCTCCGGGCAGGCGGGGTGGTGGAGACTCAGCCGGATGACGGAGTGACGTCCCCGGGCCACACAGCTGTGGAGTGGCCGAGCCGGAGGAACCTTCCTGTGTTCCAAGCCCACGTGCCCGACAGTGCCGTATCTTGTCAGCCCACTGTCTCATTTTACAAGACAATTATGGGGGGGCCCAAGCTGGCCACCTCTCTTGCCCGCACCTGTGGCATTTCCCGGGCCCGCTCCGGGACGCTCCAGGGTCAGAGGACCTCATGCCACCCTGTCCAATGAGGCTTCTCCTCACTTCTGTCCGTCGGGGCTGTGTCCCCTCCCCTCGCCGGGCCACTCAGCGCTGGGCCTTACACCTCTTTCTCGATGTTGAGGGGAGGTACAGGGTCTCCCACGTTTTTCCCGGACTTTGGCTCACCTAACCGTCCCTCGCAGTTAGTAGCCAGGGGTGACGCAGCAAAGGCCACGCACCAGGGCAGCCTGACGTGGGAACAAACCCGGCGGGCGGCCTGTCTCTTGTACCCCCGTTTCTGTGAGAAGTGCTGTGCTTTAGTCCTTGAAAGACCACGCAGCCAGGAGGCCAAAGGGCAGCCTGCATTTGAGGGGAACACACTAGGGGGTAGTGGGGTTGGCCGGGGGTACGGGTCCTCTCCAGCGGGGCTCCCAGCTCCACGCCAGCCACTTCTGCAAGGTGGGAACGGAGGCCTGACGTGGATGGCTAAGACTTCTCAAGAAAGCTGAAAGTGGAGATTTTTGAACAAGATCATGTCCTTTTTAAGCATAGGCAACGGATTAAATATTTTTCAATATTGGTGCAAGCCAAAATGAGGAAACAGGATCAACTCAGGGACAAGACGGAGCCCGCGGGCAGCCCTGGACCCCGAGTGCCCCGACGAGGGTGTCGGAGTGCGGAGTCTCCTCCAACAAGCTGGCCCACTGGCTTCCAGAGCTCAGCCTTGGGGACTGTCACGTCACAGGCCCTGCACGGCCAAGGGACATACAGACTCTGGGGCCCCAGAGTCCTGGGTCTATGGAATCCATCTCTGGGCTGGGTCTGGAGCCCCCACGGCCTTTAGAGCTTGGCAGGTACTGCTGATGTCCGGCCAAGGTCACTCCCCGCCGAGGATTTCCGGACTTCCCTGATGATCACAGTCCCCTGAGGCTCTTGGTAAAAAAACGCAGCTTCCCAGTCCCATTTCCTGGAGACATTGATTCAGCGGGTCTGGGACAGGGCCTGGGAACTTGGTTTAATTTGGTTTTCACAAATTCTTACCCGAGAAGTCTGGGAAACCCTTGCATTCGTGTCCTCCAGAGACTCGGAGAGGGAAGCTTTGCCCGGAGCCTCACAGAGTGACCCCACCCGTCTGCCTCGGACTGAACTTGCTCTTGGATAGCACCCCGTGGGCTGCCCCCCAGGCGGCTGTGGATGCTGGGGCGCGGTCTCGGCTGGGGCACAGCACTGGCCTGTGCAGGGCCGTCTGCACGTGGTTCGGCAGGAGCCTGGCGAGGTGGTTTCTGCAGCCTGGCCCGGATGGAGCTTTGGCTGGGCATGGCTGCCCTCGCGGCCCCAGCAGGCGGCTACAGAGAGGTCCCTGGCGGGACTTTGCCGGGCGCCCAGGCATTCCTACGGCCCGAGGGGTCATTGTCCTGGGCGGCCAGGATTCCGGAGAGCTGGGCATACACCCAGCTGGGCAGGGCAGGACCTCGGGCTGAGAGAAACATTGGACGGGCCAGTTTCCTAACTGCTCCTCAGAGCCTAGGGACACGAGCTTCAGCGCCAGGACCCCTGACCCCCACAGCGGCACTGCTCTGATGTGTCTGTGTGTCTACACGAGAGTCCTTTGAAGACCAGGTCTGGTGGCTACACAAGTTTGCAAAATTGCTCTAGGGCACGTCCTTTATGTTAGCGACCGGGAGACAGGCCCAGCGAGGCACGGACTGCTGTGAGCGCACAGCCGTGTTCCTGCAGAGACTGAAGCCATGTGGGGGGCCTGGAGTACGGTCTCGGCTCTGTCCCTCTCGCTCTGTGGCTCTGGGCCAGTGTGGACATCCCCAAAGCCCCTGTGCTTTCTCCAGAAGCAGCCTGCAGCCTTCACCGCAGGGGTCCTCGCCTGGAATCCGCAGCCCCAGGGACACGGGCAAGATGTAAAGGACCATGAACTCTGATGGGAAGATAGAACGTCTCTAAGTTTTTTACCTCTAAGCGTTTTCTTCAGTTATGTGTGGTCGCACCCAACTACGGTAGCATTAGCAGCCCCTGTGACTTTGTTTCCAACCCAGAAAACGTGTTTTTCTGTCTCAAATACGGTTGTAGCTCATCACTACTGCACGGTTACCGTAGCTGTTGAATTTGCCCTTAGGTCCTGCTTTGTGCGTTCATGAAGCAGCGCCGACGTCGGTAGCCCACTCCCAAAATTATGCTGATGGCTGTATTTCAGTATAATCTGCTTCCTTGGCACTCACTTGCATTGTATCCTATGCATTCGAGAATGTTATTCTGACAAGAGGTCCATGGCAAAAAAGGTTAAGAGAAGGTGTGACAGGGAACTCCATGAGGACGGCGACGGGGATTCTGCCAACTGCAGGGGCCTGAGTGCAGGTCTGCAAATTTTTTTCCAGTCCTGGAACCTTCTCTCCAAATGAACTCTTGTGTGTAACAGAAATACAGCAGAGCCGCTCTGCTGGTGTGGGGGGGCGGGCATGCATCTGGGTGGTCCTCCTCTGTCTCCCCATGCCAGGGGGCCTGGAGGCACATGCAGAACCCTCTGGCCCCTGAGAGCGCATTTTTAAATCCCCCAGGCTATACAGTCAACGTAGTAATCCTGATCGCGGGCAGGTGCAGTCAGCCCACCAGGCCCCCGAGGGTTGGGGGGGGTCAGTTCATTGATTCCCACAAGAGCCCCCAGAGTACAAGCGGTGATTACCCCCATTGCACACAGTCACTCAGCGTTTACTGAGCAACTACTTTTTAACGACCCCAAGCAATAAGACACTCTTCTGGCCGGTAAAGTTCCAGCAAAGACTAAGGATTCTCGCCCTCCCGGGGTTTACCCCAGGAGAAAATTGACAAACAGAAACATAGTTGAAATGTGAAGCCACATGGTGTGTCAGAGGCGCTCTGGGGAAAAATACAGCCGGGAAGGGGGACAGGGAGCCACTCTGTGAAGATAAAGTGCTCAGGGGAGGAGGGCTCAGTGAGCCCCCGGAGCAGGACGTGACTGGTGAAGGTTCTGGCCCGCGGAGCCCCACCGGCAGAGCAGCAGGTGTGAGGCCGGTGGGCCGAGTGGCAGGCGCTCGAGCAGGTGCAGGGAGGCGGGATGGAGCAACAGGCAAGGCTGTTGGGGGCCGCCTCGGCCGATGCCAGAGCTTTGCCTTTTCCTGACATGCGGCCAGATCAGGGTGGGGCCACGGCAGGGTGGGGGGCTCGATCCATCGGTTTGGCCGCCTGGGGAGGGGCGGGGGCCCGTGGGGGGTTAGCGGGTAACCCGGGCAGAGAATTGGGCTGGGGAGGCAAGGTTCCACCCGCGGCGGTGGCACCCTGGCCTCTGCCTCCTCCGCGGCCCCTTCACGCCGGGTCACCGCCGGCTTTCTCCCCGCAGGCTATGGCGCGGACGGCCGCGCGGCGCTGGACATCGTACACCCGGTGCGCGTGGACGCAGGGGGCTCCTTCCTGTCCTACGAGCTGTGGCCGCGCGCGCTGCGCAAGCGGGACGTGTCCACGCGCCGCGCCGCGCCCGCCTTCTACGAGCTGCAGTACCGGGGGCGCGAGTTGCGCTTCAACCTGACCACGAACCCGCACCTGCTGGCGCCCAGCTTCGTGAGCGAGACTCGGCGGCGCGGCGGCCTGGGGCGCACGCACATCCGCGCCCGCGCGCCCGCCTGCCACCTGCTCGGCGAGGTGCAGGACCCCGAGCTGGAGGGCGGCCTGGCGGCCATCAGCGCCTGCGACGGGCTGGTGAGTGCGCACCCCCACCCCCAGGTCAGGCCTGGACCTTGGCGGGTGTTGTCCCCCAGCTTGGCGGTCCTCCCTCCTCCAGCCTGACTGCGAGCCGGAAGCACCCGCTGGCCTCCTTAACACGGTCTGCTGGGGTGGGTCGGGGTGGGTCTCCCAAGCCCGCGTTTCCGACCCTTCCCCAGTGTGGAAGCTGCAGGGGCAGAGAGCCCCCTTTGAGAATCACTCACTGTGTAGACTGGGGAACTCTTCAAACTTCAAACAGCGCAGCCCTCCTTCCCCGGGAGCCTCTGTTATGACTCTTTTCCCCCTCGGATCCCTTTAGGGTGTTCTCCCGGTCAGACAGCCCCTGGCTCCCTTTCCTCTGGGGAGACGGGGCCCCAGCCGGCCCCTCCCCGTGGAGGTGCTGCTGGCTAGGGCTGGGGGCCGCTGTTGCCTCACCCTGCCACTCTGGGCAGCACAGGGACCCCTTCTGCTCCTGGCTGGGTGACTGGGCCTGCCCTCTGAGGGAGGTGGGGGGGTGTGGGGGGGGACGTGTGTGCACTGTCAGCCGTCCACCGTTCCCTCAGCTCCGAGGGCTCAGGGAAGCCGTGGGCTGGAGGACAAGGCCTAATAATGGACAGCCTACAGCATAGCTGCAGGTCTCGGGGGCCTCGGGGAGCCTGGGCCGGTCCTCCTTCATCTCGTTAATCTCGTAGAAGCTGCCCCAGCTGAGCCTGTGGTGCTGTTTCCGCTGGCGGGCGAGGAGACCGGCTTGGAGGGCACTGCCCACAGCCGCCCGGTTACGCACTCAAACCCAGTCTCCGGGGTGCGCTTTCTGGCCCTCGGGGCTCTCGGCCCTGACCAGCCAGAGGGGGGCAGATTTGGGGCCAAGGAGGGAGCTGTAGAGGTGAGAAAATCCTTCTCCCTGCTGGAGGCCTGGGCTTCCTCTGGAGGTGGTGGGCTGCCTGGACACCTCCCAACACCCCCCTCCCCGGCCTCTCTGAATGCTGGCAGATGGGCACCCGGAGACACCCCCGCCTGCCTCCCTGCTCTGGCAGGCCCTGGGACCGGGGGCCAGGATGTCCTGGTGACAGTGGGCATCCCCGCGGCTGGGGCGTGGGCAGAGCTGCCATGTGAGTGATTCACTGCCTCGGGGAGACGGGGATGCAGGCAGCTGGGCAAGGACACAATGGCTGGCAGCCGACAAGAGTGGTCTGGGGGCCTGGCCGCTGACTCAAGAGGGCCCTCTGGGCCTGTGTGGAAGATGCTGTCTTAGATGTACCATGGCCCCGTTTCCTGCCCCTGATGGGTGAAGGGGGGGCGTCCTCCTGAGACTTGCGGCTTCCAAGCTCCGCCTTGGGCTGAGGGTTCAAGGCCCAGAGGGAGGAAAGCGTGTGCATTTGGGGTCAGTCAGGAGTGTTGGGAGCAGTGTGGCCTCAGCTGGCAGGATGGGCCTCAGGGACGAGTGGGCAGAGTGCCCAGTGCCAGCCCTCTCCTGTGACCCTGGCCCTTCTTTCCCAGAAAGGTGTGTTCCAGCTCTCCAACGAGGACTACTTCATCGAGCCCCTCGACGGCGTCCCGGCCCAGCCCGGCCATGCCCAGCCCCACGTGGTCTACAAGCGCCAGGCGCCGGAGAGGGAAACCACGCCGGGCAACCCCGCAGCTGCAGGCACCTGTGGGGTACAAGGTATGCGCCTCTGCTGCCAGCTCTGGGGAAGGCCACGGGCCTGGAGGCCTGGAGCGCTTTTCTGGAAGGCTCCCTTGTCCACACGTCCATGCTCAGCTCCCCTGAACCAAAAGAATGCAGACAGGCCGGCGGACATCACCGTAGCCTCCGCCTTCCGAAAGGCCCACGGGCCTGGGGCCTCTGCTGCCAGGCCTGCCCTTGCCCTGGGCTCCTCCCTCCGGTGCCTCCCCTCCTCGCTCACTGAAGCGCTGTTGGTTCCTCCCTGAGCCCAGCCCAGCAGCGCAGCCACCAGCCTCCCTCCTGTCCCCACTCCGCCCAGCCCACCATAGCCAACCTCGGTTCCTGGGCAGCTCCTCCTCTGACCAGCGGCCACATCACTGGCCAGTCCAGGTACGGAGCCGCCCAGCAAGCGCTGCTGGGCTGTGGGGACCGCTCGGCTGGCATGCTGGCCCCGGAGGCTGCCTCAGCTCAGGGCCTCTGCTCAGCGGAACGGGTACCCAGACTCACAGTCTTCCCAGCTTCACAGATGTGCGTCCTCCTCTCTGGGGCAGACTGGGACAGGCGAGCAGGTCTCTAGTGGGGATGGCCTCCCGGGTGGGTGTTGGGCCCAGGGGACCCTGCGCTGGGATCCACCCGGCCCCACAGACAGGGAGCGCCTGGGGGCCGGTGGGGAGATGGGAACCCATATCTATCCTACCATCGTGCCCCAAGGGCACCTTCTGAGGGTCTGCGGCTGATTCCTCTTTACTCCTCTGGGGAGCTCGGGGTCAGGGTTGGGAAGTGACCGGCGCAGGGTCACATGGCACAGGCCCGTGCAGATCCACAGTGGGAGTCCAGGCTGCCAGCTCTGGGCCCAGTGCCGTTCCTGCGGCCCTGGGGCGAGCTGCGGAGCAGAGGCCCTTGTGATGCACACCCTGGGCCAGCCGCTGACCCCCAGTCCCCGGGACCCACAGCATCGGTGGAGCTGGAGGCGCGGCGGGAGCGCTGGGAGCAGCGGCAGCAGGGGCGGCGGCGGCCGGGGCCGAGGCGGCTCCATCAGCGCTCGGTCAGCAGAGAGAAGTGGGTGGAGACCTTGGTGGTGGCCGACGCCAAAATGGTGGAGTACCACGGGCAGCCGCAAGTTGAGAGCTACGTGCTGACCATCATGAACATGGTGAGCCTGCGCGGTGCATGGTGTGCGGTGTTGGAGGTGCAGGATGGCTGGCAGGCTGGAACCCGGGTCTGGGCAGGAGGAGCGGCGTTCAGGATCTGGAGTCCAGGCGGGCTGGGCTGGGTGCGGGGTGTCACCAGGAGAGAGCGGGGCCCACGCTGGGCTTTTGGGAGGGGCTGCTGCGCAGAGCAGGGGAGTGGAGACGGGCAGTGGTTACAGCCGCTGTCCATGACTACCTGGGGAGCCCGTAGTCGTGTTGGTTCATTCACGCTGGTCTAAGCAGACCTTCCCCCTTTATGCCACAATCCCTGGGCTCTGGGGACATGGAAGCACCTAGTCAGGGCGGCCCCTGCCTGTGACACCAGCATTCGTGAGCGTTTGAAGGGTCTGCCCAGTGTTAGAGTCCGCCAGCTGCTGACCTCAGGCGACACCCGGCCTGCCTGAGCCTCACTTTGCTCATCTGTGGCCTAGGCATGATGATGGGAGCTGGGGCTGTCCCTGCTGATCTGGGCTCCACAGGTTGGTTGGGAAAAGTAGGCCGTGAGAGGGTGAGTGACCTGCTCAGGTCACGCTGCACATGAGGCAGGGCAGACCTGGATGGGAGCGGAGGTGTCCTGTCCCCGCCCCACCCGGTGCCTGGTGGCTGGAGCCGGTGATTCCTGGAACTGCAGGGTGCTAGCCTCCCCCTCCCTGCGGCCTCCCTGTGACAGGAAAGATCGGTGCCCCAGCCCTAGCAGGCCAGCCAGGGGGCAGACGCCACGTGGCCCCCTCTCCCGGGTGAGCACAGTGTGCGATCCACGTGCCGGGGCCACAGTCAGCTGCGTCCTCTGTACCAGCCCCTTACCTTCCGCAGCCTTGAGACATCCAGCGTCTGGCCGCCACCTTCTAGAGGTGAGGCGGGGGTTCCAGGACAGGAGGGGCCTCTGGCCGTGGTCTCTGCGCCCCCACGGCTCCAGCCTCACCAGCAAGCTCAGCTCTGGGCCAGTTCCGGCCTGACGTGGCCGTCCTCAGGCTCCCTGCTCCTCACGCGGTGAGAGCCGCTGCCTTCCGCCTGGCCCAGGAGACCTCAGAGCCCAGCCAAGCCTCCGTGCGGCCTTGTCTGCCCAGCACGGGGATGCTCTACAGGCCAGGGTTTGGAGGGACTGAACCCCAGGGGGAGGACAAGCAAGGCCAGGTTCTAAGGCCACAGGGTCTTCATCCCGTCTTGGGGCTCAGCCCAACAGAGGCCCAGGAGCTGGGCTGGAGCCCCTGGCTGTTCATTTCCCCTCATCCTTCCTGGGTGTTCCCCATAGGCCAGGTGCTGGGCCCTTCAGGCTCCCCCATGGCGTCCCCTGGGGGATGGGTCAGCCATTTAGCCTGGGACCTGGCCCCTTCCTGCCTCCCTGTCCAGGGATCCTGTCCAGGGGCACAGGACTCGTGCCTTCACTTTAGGAACCCCGTCCTGGAGGAGGGGTTGGGGCTCTCATTCACGTACTTTGGACCATATCAGGCTTTCCTGAGCCGGCAAGTCCGGCATGGGTCAGGATAGAGTGGGGCTGCCTCACAGTGCTGCGTACCTGGGACATGGGGGGGTGAGGACAGCCTCTGAGAAGGGACGCGGCCTCGTGAGTACCTGCTCGTCCAGTGTCCCATGGTCACTGCCTTGCCTCAGGCTCACTCCCACTTTACGGGGGAGGGAACAAAGGTTCTGAGAGGTCTAGGGACGTGTTCACTGTCACATAGCTGATTACTGGCCGAGCCAGGGCTGGAGCTCAGATCTGTCTGCCTCCAAAGCCCCACTCTGTCCTCTGCCCAGGGACAGTCAGCTGTGAGGCTGTGGTGGCCAGAGCTTGCTAGAAGGATGGGGGAACAAAGTGGTCGAGATGGGGAGAGCTCACCCTTTTTGTCCCTCTGGAGGACACGCTCATTCACTGAATGCAGGGTCCCACGCTTGGGAAACTGCTTCATTGTAACGTTTCTCAAAGAATGTTACAGGGAAGACTTACTCCAAGAGAAGATAATGAGTATTTTGTGAAAAAAGGTGGCATAGCTGGAGAAGTTTGGCAATAGAGGTTAACAAAAAGGAACACAGACTTGTTTGCTGCAGACCTTCTCAGAGCCTTCAGAGCTAAAGTGCACTGAGAATCTCTAAAACCAGACAGATGGCATTTCCCAAAGCTAAGAAGTAAGAGCAGGGGCTCTGGGTCAAACCTGGTTGTGATCCCAGATTTTTTTTTAAGATTTTATTTATTTATTTGACAAAAAGAGATCACAAGCAGGCAGAGAGGCAGGGGTGGGGGGAAGCAGGCTTCCTGCTGAGCAGAGAGCCCGGTGCAGGGCTCGATCCCAGGACTCGATCCCAGGACTCTGGGACCATGACCCGAGCCGAAGGCAGAGGCTTTAACCCACTGAGCCACCTAGGCGCTCCAACATTCAGCAGATATTTCTTGAGTGCTCATCGTGGGTCAGGCCCTGGATGGGTCGCTGGGATGTCAGAGGGGGCCCACGCAGACATGGCCTGCGTGGGGCTCGGGTCTGGCCGGGGAGCGTGATGTTAGTGAAACCGTCATCCTGAGGAACATGCAGGTCAGCAGAGGGCCTGCTAGGAAGGACGAGTTCACGAGGCTTTGGGAGCCTCAGGTGGAAGGAAGGCTCCTGGCAGATGTGCTGGAGGGTGAGAGCTGGAGAGGAGATGAGAGGACGGGTATTCCAGGTGAGGGCACAGCATGTGTAAATGCCCTGTGGTCGGGACGCTCACGGGATTCTGAGAGTGAGCCAGATTGGTCGGAACCAGGCAGTGGGGACAAGAGAGGTGGTGAGCGAGTGGGTCAGGACTGGGACTTGGTCCTCGCCCAGTGGACGGGAAGCCCCACTTACTGCTTTAAGCAAGGGCACGAGGTGGTTGGGCTTGAGTTTTGGCGGCAGGGGGCTGCGAGGCTGTAGGTGGGCGGGGTGCGTGGGGACACTGCTGAGAGGCCTCCACGGCCGGCCAGGCAGGAGGTGCTGGCCCCTCAGCCCGGGCAGTGGCCTTGAGGGTGGATGCAGGGCAGCTGGAGGGGGCAGAAGGGATTGCCTTGGGGGGGTGGTACACAGGGCTCCCAGGCTTGCAGCCCGCGTGCCGAGGTGCACATGTGGTGCTGCTTGTCCAACCCGTCCCTAACCTTGGGCTCTCAAAGTGCAACTTGTCCCTGTTATCAGGGCCTACAGCACCCTTCTGAAGCGTGTGTTTTGTCCATTCCTGTCTGAATGTTATGTCTCTGGATGGACTTACTAGAAGCCCCCCATAACCACCTGTCCTGCCACCTCTGCCACCAGGAACCTGACGCCCGCCCGGTCCTGGCCCAGCCCCTTCCTCATGCTGAGGGAGTCTCACAGAGAAGCTAGCTTTCCCTGGCCCTTTCCCTGCCCCTCGATGCACCTGCCGTCTTTGGGGTGGCCTTCTCTCCCAGGACTGAGTGGGGAGCTCCGTGTAGCCACAGGGCCTCAGACACATGTGCACGCCTGCCCTGCGGGATGGCAGGCCAGTGGGGAGACTCCGGCGGCTGTGCCCGCCCCATCCCTTCTGTCAGCTCTGCCCAGGTCTCCTGTCTCATGGGAGGGCTCAGTCCTGGGATGCTGGTCTGATGTCCCCCAGGGCAGGAGGAGGCGGCCTAGCTGTCCCAGCCCAAGAGATCAGGCAAGCCAGGACCCTGGGATGGGCTGAGAAGCCCATATTTGAGCTGTGAGGTAGGGAAGCCAATCCCATGCCAGTGCTCAGGGCCGGCCTGGGCCTGGGAGGGGGTTACACGTGGACTCTGCTGGTGCTCGGTTGGGGACATGCGGGGACACGGTGTGCTGCGTGTGCGGCCTGTGTGTGGGTGGGGCTGTGCACAGCTTGGGGTGGGTCGGTGGTGGCTGTCTACACCTTCCATCCAGGGTGCCAGCCCAACCCCATCTCTTGGGCAGGTGGCCGGCCTGTTCCGCGACCCCAGCATCGGGAACCCCATCCACATCACCCTCGTGCGCCTGGTCCTGCTGGAGGATGAGGAGGTGAGAGGTCGCGGGCCCTGGGCTGCCCCGTCCCCTGAGCCGCCCTGTGCAGAAGGGCACCGGGAGCCAGCTCAGCCCAGGCGGGGACCCCCTTCACCCCCCAGTCCCTGGCCGGCCCTCTCTCCGGTCCCCGGGATGTGCCTGCGGGAGGGGTGGTCAGACTGGAGCTGGGACAGTCCACAGGCCAGGCTGTTGTGCCTCCCCCGCCCTCTGTCCTGCGTCCCCATGGGGGAGCATGGGGCCTGGCCCTCTGGGCTCGGGGAGGCACCAGTTGCTGCTCTCTGCACCCCCAGGAAGACCTGAAGGTCACACACCACGCAGACAACACCCTGAGGAGCTTCTGCCGGTGGCAGAAGAGCATCAACATGAAGGGGGACGCGCACCCGCTGCACCACGACACGGCCATCCTGCTGACCAGGTGCCGGGGGGCGGGGGCTGCTCCGGAGCCTCGGAGGGCGGCTGGAGACGGATTCCGTCACTGTTCGGCGAGATCTTTCTATACTGAGAAGATGTGGGACACCCTACACCGGCGCCCCTTCCCTGGGGCTCGCGTCTACGCCCCTGCCCCTTCCCCGGTGCTCCCAGCGCAAGCCCACGACCAGGACACGGACCCTGGTTCTGTCCACAGACCCGTTCACACGTCCCCAACCAGTCATCACGTGCACGTGTGCTTTACACACTTTGATCACATGTGTGAGTTCCTGTGTCCACCCCTGAAGTCTATGGATAGGGTGGTTCTGTTGGAAGGAGCCCCCTGCCCCTGTTGGACAGCCAAGGCTGCCCTGGCTGCCAGCCCCCCCGCCCCCAACCTTGGACAAATGCAAAGGGGTCGGAGGTGGTTGTCCAGGGTCTCCCTCTGCTGGGTCCCAGCAGTGCCTTGGCACCCTCCCGGGGATAGGAACCAAAATCCTGCTGGGCTGCTCCCCAGGCGCCAACAGGTGTCCCGTGTGCCTGAGGGTCCTGCCCCGGGTGTGGCTGCGGTGCTAGTGGGCTGTCTGGGCGGGAGGGGACAGCCGCCCTCCTTGCTCGCTCACTCGCTCTAGGCTCAGGTGGGCCTGGTGCAGGGCCAGGTCAGCCTGAGGGCGGCTTCTCTCTGCACCCGCAGGAAGGACCTGTGTGCAGCCATGAACCAGCCCTGTGAGACGCTGGGCCTGTCCCACGTGGCGGGCATGTGCCAGCCGCACCGCAGCTGTAACATCAACGAGGACACAGGGCTGCCGCTGGCCTTCACCGTGGCCCACGAGCTCGGACACAGGTACTCCGCCTGCTCGGCCCACCCAGCTTCCCCTCCCTGCCCCTGGGGCACAGGGTCCCAGCTAGGGGGGCCTGCCCTGGCCTGGCCATGCACCGTCTCTGCCCCGTCCCCACAGCCAGGCTGCTTCCCTGTCCGGTGGGGAGAGGCCCGTCCAGGTACCCCGGGGGCCAGCTCAGGGAGAGTCCTGTGTGAGGTGGGGTTGACGTGGCCGGGACGTCAGCCCGGGTCTGGGGCGGTCCCTCCGCAGTGCTCTCCGTGCTCACATTCTGACTCTTGGTCCCACTACATGTGTATTCCTGGTTGCCCTGTGACCCCGGGCAAGTGCTCGGCCCTCTCTGGGCCTTTGTGCACGCCCTGCTGGTCGAGCGGGTCGGATCCGGCGATGCTCAGGGTTCCGGCCAGCTGGCCTGTCCACATGAGGCTGTAGGGTTAAGGGTGGTCCATGCGCTCAGCCGGCCGTGCAAGGGGGTCCCTGCTGTTCCATGGGGCCGCGCCTCAGGCCGCTGCTCCGATGACGGTGGCCCACAGCCAGGTCTGCCGCTCAGAAGTTTGGGGGTTCATGGTTTACCTGCTCAGGCTCCTTGAGGGGCAGCATGCAGGGTCTCGAAGATGCCCGTGGTGCTAGAAAGAGCACAGTGCCCTGGACCTGCCGTTCCCTGGCTGCATTCCCTTGGCCGGGCCCCAAACCTCTCTGAGCCCCCCCAGGCCGCTCTGAGGGCTGAGCAAGATGGGGTCTCTGCCAGGGCATAGCACATCCTAAGTGCCAAGCCAACATAATCTTTCTTGGCTCTGTCTCAAGGATGGCGTCCTGAGAACCTTTCTGTGGTAGGGCAGCTCAGACGCCCCTCCTCTGGCGCACAGCCGCAGGCCGAGGACGAGGTCCGGGGGTGCTGGGTGCCAGGGAGCGGGCGCTGCCCTCCCGGCCGTGCCCCCCACCGGCCAGTCCCCGCAGGTGCTGTCAGGCTTAGGCAGGTAGCCCTGGAGGAAGGCTCAGGGAGCATAGCTGTCCCACCCCCATCGTAGGTCAGGGAGGCAGAGGCTCCCAGAGGGGTTGACCTTCCGGAGGCCGCACAGCAGTCTGACGGGTTCGCCCCGTGCAGGCGGGCGGGAAGGGGCAGGAGGCATCGGGAAGGGTCGGGTAGGTGCTCTTCCATGGCTCACCTGCCCCGCGGCCTCTGCTCTCACACAGCTTTGGCATTCAGCATGATGGAAACGGCAATGACTGCGAGCCTGTTGGGAAACGGCCTTTCATCATGTCTCCACAGCTCCTGTATGACACCGTCCCCCTCACCTGGTCCCACTGCAGCCGCGAGTACATCACCAGATTCCTGGAGTAAGCCCCGCTCGGGGTGGGAGGGGGGCGGCCCGGGCGGGGTTCCGGTGCCTGATGGAGGGTGGCAGAGAAAGGCAGCCAGTGGAGCTGGGGGGCCAGCAGGTGGAGTGGGGGGCGGGTCTCCCCCTCCCCCTGGGCTGGAAGGAGAGGCCATCTGAACTGGGTCTGACAGGAACAGCTGACACACATGTAGAAAGGAGAGCAGTGGTATTTGCATGGGGTGGGGGTGCTGAGATACAAGGGACCTGAGGGCTGTCGGGAAGGCAGGGGGCGAGTACGGACTTGGGGACCATGGGTCCAGGATGGGGATGCGATCCTTGGGTTTGGGATGGGAAGGAAACCAGACAGGGCACAGGCCTGGCCACGTGGCCAACGGAGTCCAGGGAAAAGTGCCATTTAAAGTGCCGAAACTTAAAGTTTTTCCTTTCTTTCATGTCCTCTAAATTTTGTTTATTTGCTATTTAATGTTCTAAACAAAGAAAAACTTAAAAATTTAAATTTTTAGCACACATCTTACTGTTGACCTTTATTTTGTGTAGCACTAGCTGTAAGTGCAAGCGTAAGAGCCTCGACCTCCTATGTGAGTCACCGAAACGCCACAGTGCGCATAACCCGGCAGGATTTGTTCTGCTTCCTAATATGTGTGCGTTCTGCCCACACTCCTGCCTTCGGCTTGCTAGCCAGTAAGCAAAGTCTGAAGGGAGAAGGGTCTAGGGGCTGCCCTTGTCCCCTTCTGCCTCCTCGCTTCCAGTGCGCACTTGGCTGAGACGGGGAAGTAGGACCAGTAACAAAGGACAGCACAGCTTCTGGTGGTTCATGTTTCTTGACACATCACTGCCTTCTTTCTGCATTTGGAGCAAGTTCTGGTTCCAGGGGACAGTGTGGCCTCTGCCCCCTGTTCCAGTGTAGACCGGGTGCTTTCTGGGCCTGTCCTAACATTGTCCTGTGGGGTCATCCTGCTACCGACTTTAGAGGGGATGCTTCTTTGTTCTGCTGGAGCACGTCGCCAAGTAGCTTTCTGAGAAAAGGCGCATGGAGGTGAGGGGTTTGCTTGTTTGGAGGAGTTCCTTCTCTCCTCACCCCTGATTGGTAATTGGATTTGATATTAGCCTCGAGCCGGAAGTCACCTGCCCTCAGCCTTTCAAAGACTTTTTCCCATCATCCTCTGGCTCCTAACGTTGCTGCTGAGAAGGCCCTTTCCAGTCTTATTCCCAGGCCTCTGTCGTGACCTCCTAAAACATCTGGAAGCTTTTCTTTCTCTCTTTCTCTCTCTCACGATGATTGGAAGTTTTGCAGTTGTGCCTTGATCTGTTTTTGTTTTGGAGGGTTCTTGCTAGACGCTTTTTTTGTTTGTTTGTTTTAATTCCAGTGTGGTTGACGCGCAGCGTAATACTAATTTCAGGTGTACAATTCAGTGATTCCACACTTGCATCCACCACCGGGTGCTCATCATGACAAGTGCCCTCCTTAATCCCCATCACCTGTCTCCCCCGTGACCCCCATCTCCCCTCTGGTGACCAGCAGCGTTTCCTCTAGAGTTGAGTCTGTTTCTTGGTTTGCCTCCTTCTCTTTCTTTACCCTTTTTGTTCATCTGTTTTGTTTCTTAAATTCCACATGTGAGTGAAATCACATGTTGTTTTGTCTTTCTTTCATTCTGCTTAGCATAATATTCTCCAGTCCCATCCACGTCATTGCAAATGGCAAGATTTTGTTCTTGTTGATGGCTGCGTAATATTCCATTGTGCGTGCGTGCGTGCGTGTGTGTGTGTGTGTGTACGTGTGTATGCACCACATCTTCTTTACCCATTCATCTATCGAGCAGCTCTGGGGCTGCTCCCATATCTTGGCCATTGTAAGATAACGCTACAATAAACAGAGGTGCACATATCCCTTCAAATTAGTATTTTTGTATCTTTGGTTAAATACTTCAGTGCAATTGCTGGGTCATAGGGTAGCTCTATATTTAACTTTTTGAGGAACCTCCATCTGTTTTCCAGAGCGGCTGCCCCAGCTTGCATTCCCACCAACAGTGTAGGAGGGCTCCCCTTTCTCTGCATCCTCGCCAACTCCTGTTGTTTCCTGGCGTGTTCATTTTAGCCATTCTGACTGGTGTGAGGTGGGACCTCACTGTGGCTGTAAATTGCATTTCCCTGAGGATGAGTGAGGCTGAGCGTCTTTTCATGTGTCTGTTGGCCATCTGTGTGTCTTCTTTGGAGAAATGTCTGTTAGTCTCCCGCCCATTTTTAGTTGGATTATTTGTTTTGCGTGTTGGGTTGTATCAGTTCTTTATATATCTTGGATACTAATCCTTTATTAGATATGTTGTTTGTAAATACCTTCTCCTGTTCCATAGGTTGCCTTTTAGTTTTGTTGATTGTTTCCTTCACTGTGCAGAAACTTTTTATCTTGATGTAATCCCAATAGTTTACTTTTGTTTTCGTTTCCCTTCCCGGAGACATAGCTAGAAAAAAGTTGCTACGGCCAACGTCAGAGAAATTACTGCCTGTGCTCTCTTCTAGGATTTTTATCATTTCATGTCTCATGTTTAGGTTCTTAATCCTTTTTCAGTTTATTTTCATGTATGGTGTAAGAAAGTGGTCTCGTTTCATTGTTCTGCATGTGGCTGTGCCGTGTTCCCAGCACCATTTGTTGAAGAGACTGTCTTTTTTCCATTGGACATTCTTTTCTGTTTTGTCGAAGATTAACTGACCATGTGACTGTGGGTTTGTTTCTAGGCTTTCTGTCCTGTTCTATTGATCTATGTGTCTCTTTTTATGCCAGGATCATAGTGTTTTGATTCCTACAGCTTTGTAGTATATCTTGAAGCCTGGAATTGGGATGCCTCCAGCTTGGCTTTTCTTTTTTAAGCTCGTTTTGGCTATTTGAGGTCTTCTTTGGTTCCAACCAAATCGTTCGTTCAAATGCTGTGGAAAATGCTGTTGGGTGTTTTGATCAGGGTTGCATTAGATCTGTAGATTGCTTTGGGAAGTGTGGACATTGCAATAATTTTTGTTCTTCTAACCCATGAGCATGGAATGTTTTTCCATTTCTTTGTGTCGTCTTCAATATTTTGTAGTTCTCGCAGTACAGATCTTTTTCCTCTTCAGTTAAGTTTATTCCTAGGTACTTTATTATTTTTGGTGCAATTTTAAATGGGATTTTTTTCTTAGTTTCTCTTTTGCTGCTTCACTGTTAATGTGGAGAGACACAATCGATTTCTGTATGTTGAGTTTGTATCCTGGGATTTAGTTTTTTGGTTGAGTCTTGAGGGTTTTCTATACATAGTATCATATTCTACTTCCTTACCAATTTGGATGGCATTTATTTATTTGTTTATTTATTTAGAATGGCTGCTGTGGCTAGGACTTCTAGTACTATGTTTTGTAAACGTGGTGAGTGTGGACATTTTTGTCTTCTTCCTGATCTTAGAGGAAAGGCTCTCAGTGTTTTATTGTTGAGTGTGATGTTGGCTATGGATTTCTCATATGTGGCCTTTATCATGTTGAGGTTCATTCTCTCTCATCTGAATCTACATTGTTGAGGGTTTTTATCATGAATGGATGTTGTACTTTGTCAGATGGGTTTTCTGTGTCTTTTGAAAGGACCACATGGTTTTTATCCTTTCTCTTACTCATGCATCGCATTGATCGATGTGTGAACCTTGCAACCCCGGAATAAATCCCACTTGATCAGGGTGAGTGATTTTTTAAGTGTATTATTGGATCCAGATTGCTGGTGTTTTATTTACTTTATTTTATTGACTTTATTTTATTTTTTTAAAGATTTTTATTTTATTTATTGGACAGACAGAGATCACAGGCAGGCAGAGAGCGGGAGAAGCCGACTCCCTGCTGAGCAGAGAGCCCAATGCAAGGCTCCATCCCAGCACCCTGAGATCATGACCTGAGCTGAAGGCAGAGGCTTAACCCACTGAGCCCCCCAGGCGCCCCGGGATTGCTGGTATTTTATTGAGAATTTTTGCATCTATGTTCATCAGGGATCTTGGCCTGTAATTCTCTATTTTAGTGGGGTCTTTGTCTAGTTTTGGCCAGGTAATGCTGGCCTCAAAATGAATTTGGAAGTTTCCTTTCTTTTCTGTTTTTTAGAATCGTTTGGGAAGAACAGGTATTAACTCTTCTTTAAGCATTGGCAGAATTCATCTGGGAAGCCACCTGGTCCTGGACTGTGGTTTGTCAGGAGTTTTTTGTTTTTTGTTTTTTAAAGATTTTATTTACTTATTAGTCAGAGAGAGCAAGCGAGCACAGGCAGACAGAGTGGCAGGCAGAGGCAGAGGGCAAAGCAGGCTCCCCACCGAGCAAGGAGCCCGATGCGGGACTCGAACCCAGGTTGCTGGGATCATGACCTGAGCGAGCCGAAGGCAGCTGCTTAACCAACTGAGCCACCAGGCGCCCCTGTCGGGAGTTTTTGAAGACTTATTCGGTTTCATGGCTGGGATTGGTCTGTTTAAATTTTCTGTTTCTTTCTCATTTCTTTTTGGGAAGTTTTACATTTCCAGGAATTTATCCGTCTCTTCCATGTTGTTCAGTGTGTCGAATCATAGTTTTTCTGAATTACAGCCCTTTGTATTTCTGTGCTGCCCGTCACTACTTCTCATCTTTCATCTCTGGTTTTGAGTCCTCTCTCTCCTTCCTCTCCTGTCTCCTCTCTCTGTCTCTCTCTCCTTTCTCTCCTGTCTCCTCTCTCTGTCTCTCTCTCTGTCTCTCTGTCTCTCTCTCTTTGTTTTGAAGAGTCCAGCTAAATATTTACCAATTTTGTTGATCTTTTCAGAGAACCAGCTCCTGGTTCCATTGATCTGTTCTTGTTGTTAGTTTCTATCTCATTTACTTCCGCTCCGATCACTGTTCTTTCTTTCTTCCTTCCTTCCTGCCGGTTTGGGGTCTTGTTTGTTCTTCTTTTCCTGGCTCCCTCACAGGTAAGGTGGTTGGGTCATCTCCGTGAGACTTTTCTTGCTTCTTTAGACCTGGTGGATGCTTTTTCCCTAAAACTCCTATCTTTTCTGAAAATGTTCCTGTGTTATTTGATCATTTGTATTTTCCCCTTTTGGAACCCTCAACTTTCAGCTGCTCTCACATTCTTTACAGTTTTTCTACTGGTTTTTCTCTCTGTTTTCTGGAGGACATCCTGTGTTCACCCTCTGTTAAGTTTTCTCCACTATACTTTGAACTTGTACTTCCTTATTCGCTAAATCATATCGTTCTATGCCAAGCGTCCACAGTCGCGGCTGCCTCGCTTCTCTCTGAGGTCATTCCTTACGTGGGTTAAACTCTTCTCTTCCGCAGCCTGCAATATCTTTCTTTCCTTAATTTAGTTTTATTGATTTATTTAATAAATTTTGTTTTGTTTTATTTATTTATTTGAGTGAGAGAGGACACAGCGAGAGAGGGAGCACACGCAGGGGAAGCGGGGGAGGGAGAAGCAGACTCCCCGAAGAGCAGGGAGCCTGATGCGGGGCTCGATCCCAGGACGCTGTGATCATGACCTGAGCCGAAGGCAGATGCCGAATGACTGAGCCACCCAGGCATCCCCTTTCCTTAATTTTAAAAACCATTTCATGGAGCGCCTGGGTGGCTCAGTGGGTTGGAGCCTCTGCCTTCGGCTCAGGTCATGATCTCAGAGTCCTGGGATCGAGCCCCACATCGGGCTCTCTGCTCAGCGGGGAGCCTGCTTCCTCCTCTCTCTCTGCCTGCCTCTCTGCCTACTTGTAATCTCTGTCTGTCAAATAAATAAATAAAATCTTAAAAATAAATAAATAAATAAATAAAAACCATTTCATGTTAAAGGGTTTAAGCCAGTTCAGCTTCCTCTCATGCCCAGAGGCGGCCCTGGGATACCAGCTGGGAGGCCTCCAGGACCAGCAGGCTTCTGGAGTCAGTGCGGAGGGAGCGGCCGGGGTGGGGCTGTGTCTTCGGGAGGAGCACCGAGGGCCCTTTCTGGAGTGGTTCTGTTTCCCCAGAGATACTCTCCTCGTGTCCTGGGAGCTGCGAGTCCGGCCCTAGCATTCTGGCACCAGGTGGGGAAGGGCCTTGGCAGTTTCCTGTCCTTCCCTGTGTGGACTCACACATGTCCCCTTCTCTGTAGGTCCGTCTGTAGGTGCCCCAGGGCCAGATCCCCTGGGTCAGCCTCTTCAGAGAGTGACCCCGGCGCTCTGCAGGCAGGGAGGTAGCCATCACCTGGCCACAGGGGTGCGGGACTGAAGGTGGGGTCTGATGTCTCCTGTCCCCAGCCCGGGCCTCCATGGCTCCTTGGGCCCTAAGCCTGAGCCCGTGTCGGGTTCTGCTCCTGGCTGGTGTCTCCAGCAGGCCTCGGCCTCCGACTCTCAACCACCCCCAGCTCTCTGCCCTCACTCACTTCGGCTTTCCGGCGTCCAGAATTTCGCTGACATTTGTCCTGCGTCCTTGTCACCACCCCCTTGCCTTGTGTCCTTGTTTATTCTTTTGCTGTCATCCTGGGGGGGTGGGGCGTGTAGCTCCATCTGCCGTGTTTTTCTAGAAGTCCCTCACTGTGGGTTTATGTGGGGACAAGAGCGTGTTCCCTGCGGGTGTGAGCAGGGACTCTGGCCTCTGCGGCGGAGGGATGGCTGCGGGGCAGCTGGGGCGATGGTTAGGGCCTGGACTCTGGCCTTGGCTCTTGCCCGTGTTGGCAGACATGTCCCATGGGGCTCCTGACCAGCCTGCCTTGCGGCGGCTGCTAATATCCGGCCTGTTGCCAACCCCGTGGTTCCTGTTCGGTGCTGGTGCCTCTCACCACGACTTCTAAGCAGCCCGATAAGACAGGTCTGAACCAGCGTGGTAGCCCGTGCAAGGAGAGCAGGCCTGGAAAAAGTCCCAAGGGCGTGTCTCCTGTCCCCCCCTCCCCGAGCGAGGGGAGTCTCCCCCACAACACCCCCAGGGCCTGTTCCCAGCTGTCCCCACCCAGGGAGCCGCCCAGCACCCTGCCTGCAGGACACACACGCACACACAGGCACACACGGGGTCTCTGTGCTCTTTGCTGGAATGTATGAGGGCGTTGGCTTGGGGCCTGGGGCGAGGGCGGGAAGATCAGGCCAGAGCCTGAGCCTGCTGGGGCCTTTGGGAGGTTGGTGGTGGTGGTGGGGGAGCACCGAGAGGAGGGGCACCAAGAGGGGCTGTGTGAGGGCGAAGGTGGGAGAGAGGCAGGCCTGTGTGGAGGGTGCTTTCTCGCCCCTCCACCCTGGAGGGCCAGGAAAGGGCCAAGGAAAGGGGGTCCCAGGAGGGAGGCGTGGTGCCAGCCCGTCTTCCATCTCCCTGCTGGGGCTGGACGGGCTTCACCCAGTAGGGTCTGGACGGGTGAGAGCCACATGCACTCTGGGGCCAGGCAGCGTTCCCTGAGCCTGCGGGAGGCTCAGAGGCCCTCGCAGGCCGCCTGGCTTTCCCTAGCGGACCAGAGCTCCCCGGCCCCCCTGCAGACAGCTCTGGGCATGTGTTCGAGTGAGGGGCCTGGCGGGGAGCCGGCCGGAGGAAGGAAGGGCTGGCGGCCGCTGCCCCTGTGACTTTCCCGGGTAGATGGGGCTATTTATACCTCTGTAGCTCGGGCTCCCTCGGGCAGCCTCGGCCTCCGGAGATGAGGTCCCCCAGGGAGCGGGACGGGTGGCCCAAGGCTGCACGGCGGGGCGTGGAACGGGGGGTGCCGACTCCCCATCCGCATTTGGGCCTGAATATGGCCCTGATTTTGGTGGCAGGTCCCGCGTGGGTCCCCAGGGCTCCCGACCCCTCACACACGTAGGATGGCTACTCCAGCCGCCCGGCCCACAGGACATGACACATGGCAAGTTCCAGCCAGGAGACAAAGGCCAGACTGGGGCTGCTGCGGAGGCCTGTCGGACCCTGGAGGAGCCCCCAGCCTGGGTCTGAGTCAGAGGGGTGGGCCGGCCCTCCTAGCCGAGTGTCTTGAATTGCAGGAAAGAAGGAGCCCCAGGGCCAGGCTGAACCTGCCCCCCACACCCCCAGCTGACACTTTGCCCCAAAGGCCAGGCCAGTGGTCAGAACGGGCCTTTCTCAGCCGGGGCTCCGCTGCCATGGTTTCGAACTTACACTGGGGTGAAGCATTTGAGGTCAGGCGTGTGGGTGGAGGGGAGGAGGCCTGCCCTGGGGCCGCCCGGCGAGTGGGTGTGTGTGGCCACTGGCAGCTTGGGCCAGCATCGGAGCCTGACCTCTAGAGCCTTGGGGTGACACAGGATGCTGTGCTTCGGGTCCTGCGTGTGTGGAGAGGGAACAGGTGTTTGAGGAGCGACCAAGGAGCTGGCCGGTGATCACTGGGGGGCAGAGGCCTGGGGCCCCTTGCTACTCATTTGCCAACACTCAGTCTGGTTTCCACTAGCACGGGTGGTCCAGGGGGTCTGGGGAGGGGTCCCCAGGGTCCTCCACAGGGTCTAATCTCAGAGGCTGGGTTCTTGGCCGCTCCAGTTGGAGCTCGGGCCTCAGGAAACCCCACAGACACCCACACTGCCCTAGCCCCCACAGCTCCCCTCTGAAACTTGGAGGAACTCCAGGATCCCAGAGGCTCCCTGCCCCGGCTTCCCCGTATCTTTCACCGGCCCTGCTGTCCTGTGGTGTCTCCTCTGTGCCTGTCAGACCCCAATACCTGTCACCTCTGCCCTTCTGACCCTAACCAGGATCCTCTGCTTATCTGGTCCCCCGCCTGCTACCAGGCACCCTAAGCACCCCAGACTGGAAAACTGGAGGGTTTCTGCTGACCCTCCCCTGCCTGGCTGGGGTGTCCTTGCTGCCTGGGCCAGCTAGCTACCCATCGCCCCCAACCTCAGCTCTCACCAGCCGCTGCTGCCCCGAGGGAGGTCCGGGTCACTTCCCTGACTCCTGCAGGACAGCAGTGAGCCCTGGGCTGGGTGCTCAACCTTAGGGGTGTGGCCAGGGCAGCGGGTTGGACACTGGCCCCCAGAGCCAACAGCTTTGCCCAAGGGGCCCAGGGAGAGACGCGCTGGCAGAGGTGGGTCCGAGCCGGCCTGGGACGCCCTCTGCAGGGCCCTTCTGCCTCCGTGCGCCCTGCCAGCTGGTGTGGGTCCCCTGCTGGGGAGGGCTGGAAGAGGGCAGACAGGGCTTTCCCTGGCCCCGTGGGCTGTCATCCCCCACAGAGACCCGAGACCTCAGCCCGGGGTGGGGCGGACAGGGGCGGCTGCTGTATCAGCTGCCAGCTGATGCTCTCCAGATCCCAGAGTGAGGGGATCCGGCCCCAGGCTGCGGGGTGGCGGCTACGGGAACTCCGGGCAGGGACAGGGGCCACCTGGGCTGGAGAGTTTCTGCAGAAGGGCGTGCAGAGCAGGCAAGGAAGCAGCTCGTGCAAATGTGTGACCCTGGGGAGTGGGGCTCGTTGTTCAGCGGCCAGAGGGCCTGGAGGTCAAGGGGAGGGAATGGGAGCACCCTGAATGCTAGCTTGGGGATCAGAGGGTGGGCTGCAGTGAGTAAGGACGGTTGGTGCTCTGTGCCCTCCCCTCCCCTCAGAGGCCTCCCCCGTGGGTCTCTCAGGCTGCCCCCCTTGCCTTGTCCTGTGCCCTCTCTGCAGCCGAGGGTGGGGCCTGTGCTTGGACGACTCCCCCAGCAAGGATGTCATCGACTTCCCTTCCGTGCCACCCGGGGTCCTCTACGATGTGGGCCACCAGTGCCGCCTCCAGTATGGGGCCTACTCTGCTTTCTGTGACGACATGGATGTGAGTGTGGGGTGCGCACAGGGCGGGGGGCTGCCTCCCCAGCCTGCAGTGTGCGCCGGTTTGGGTTCGTCCCCTTATGGGGTGCCTGGGAGACACCACGGGCTGTGGGATCCACTGCAGCTTGTGAGGCACAGACCCAGGTGCAATTTCTGGGTGGACCCTTTGCGGACTGGGATTCCGGCAAGCCCCTCACCTCCCAGGGCTGTTATAAAGGGCAAAACAAAAGCTCTGCTGCGTGGCCCTGGGGAAGATCGCCTGAAGTGAAGGCAATCACCCTATAAAAGGGCCCCCGGGCTTGGGGGGGGGGGGGGTGTGTTTCTGGTGAGTGGGCGGGGCCGGAAGAGGTGTGGGTGGAGCTGGTTATGAGTGGGCGGGGCCGGGAGAGGCATGGGTGGAGTTTGAGTGGGCGGGGCTGGGAATGGTGTGGGTGGAGCTGCTGTGAGTGGGCGGGGCTGGGAGGTGAAGCTCTGGGGTGAGTGGTTGGGGTTAGTTGTGAGTGGGCGGGGCTGGAAGGGCTGTGGGTGGAGTTGTAAGTGGGTGGGGCTGGGAGGTGTATGGGTGGAGCTGGTATGAGTGGGCGGGGCTGGAGATGCTCTGAGCAGCAAACCCCAGGGCTGGGCACCCCAGCACCGCATAGTTGGGGGAAGATGGGAGGGGCCCACTGGGAGTCCCATCTGCAGCCCCACCCCCTTGCCACCCCCAGAGGCCCCAGGCAGGGGTGAGAGTATGGCCTGTGTTGTCCTCCTTGCAGAATGTGTGCCACACTCTGTGGTGCTCTGTGGGGACCACCTGTCACTCCAAGCTGGACGCGGCCGTGGATGGTACCAGGTGTGGGGAGAACAAGGTAGGGGTGCTGCAGCCCCCGCTGTAGGGGTGGGTGCATGGGGAGAGGCCTGGCTCCTGTCAGTTGCTCCATCCCGCTTTACTCCTGCTTTGCTCCAGGGAGGGCCTGGGTGCTGGGGGACTGGGAGGGGGCCCCTGACTCCTCCATCCCGCCGGGGCGGGGATGACGGGCGGCCCTGGTGGTGTTTCCACCCCCGTCTGTCTCAGTGGTGTCTGCACGGGGAGTGCGTGCCCGTCAGCTTCCGGCCCGAGGCCGTGGACGGCGGCTGGTCCGGCTGGAGCGCCTGGTCAGTCTGCTCGCGGAGCTGCGGCGTGGGTGTGCGGAGTGCCGAGCGGCAGTGCACACAGCCCGTGTGAGTGCGGGGCTGGGGACGCCAGGGGCGGGTAGGATGGGGCGCCCTGAGCAGAGTCAGCCCCCGCCTCCTGTGCTCCGGAGTGTCCCCATAGAGACGACGTCTAGAGTAACCAGAGCCACCTTGGGTCAGTCAGAGGGCATGGAGGCAGCAGAGTCCCAGTGCTGGCCGCAGTGCAGAGAGGGGAATGGCAAGGCCCAGCAGCTCAGGAACTGACTGGAGGGAGGTTAGACCCTGGACCTTAGAGGGATCAGGGTTCAAATCCCCTGTCTACTCCTCTGGGTCTCAGTTTCCAGGGAAACCGTACTCTGGGGTGACTGCAGCGGGCAGCCCCCAGCAGAGCTAAAGCATGAAAACCCCAACTGGTCAGTGGGAAAGGCATAGTAAGGACTCACATCGGAAGTGCCTGTGGGTCTGAGACCAGAGGGGACAGCTGGGTGCCCTGGGACAAGTGACTTCATCTCTCTGGGCCTCAGTTTCCCCACCTATAAAGGGTGATCTGAAGAATCAGGAGAAGCTGAGCCAGCGGTAGTGCGGACCGAGGAGCTCCCTGGCTCCTTCGGACGAGCCCTCTTGGCAAGGCTGCCCTTCTTGGTGCGGGACTCAGAGCCGGCCCAGTCTAGGGCCCGGTGCTCGGCATCCTGGCCTGGGCCGGGTTGGGGGCAGCCACCCTGGCCCAGATAAGGGTGAGGTTCAGGTGCTGTGCTTGCGGGTGCCACCAGGAATGAGTCTGCAGACACGGGGTATCCTTGGGGCCCTGGGTCTCCTGGGCCGGAGATGGGGTACTGGCCCCTTCCCCAGCTCGTCCCAGGCTCCCCCACAGTGCTCTGCATGGGCAGCACCATCCCCGTTTGACAGGCAGGCGAGCAGACTGGAGCCCAGACAGGGCCGAAGACATGCCCGGGGTGCACTGCAGGGTGGGGGCAGAGCCAGCTTCCGGCAGACCCGGTTCCCCCCGCAATCCCGTAGGTCCTCATACACAGGGAGAGGGTCTAGGCCAGAGCCGGGGGCTGCGGGCGTTGGAGTCCCCAGAGTCCCCAGAGTCAGCCCGAGGGCTTGCTCCCAGACCCAGGTACACCGTCGGCGCTCACTGTGTGCTCTCCTGGCCCCACCCGGCTCTCCCCACAGGCCCAAATACAAGGGCAAGTACTGCGTGGGCGAGCGGAAGCGCTTCCGCCTGTGCAGCCTGCAGGCCTGCCCGCCGGGCCGCCCCTCCTTCCGCCACGTGCAGTGCAGCCGCTTCGACGCCGTGCTCTACAAGGGCCGGCTGCATACGTGGGTGCCCGTGGTCAATGACGGTGAGTCCTGCCGCCCACAGGCCACGGCAGCCCCGGGGCTGGGTCCTGGGGGCCCGAGGTCACCCGCCGCAGCGCAGGGCCCCACTCCCCTGCGATCAGCCTGGCTGAGAGCCAGCCACCCTGGGGCCTCCCTGACTCCTGCCTTGATTGTCCCTCATGTGTCCTCTGCTTGGGGCCCCAGTGAACCCCTGTGAGCTGCACTGCCGCCCATCCAACGAGTACTTTGCTGAGAAGCTGCGGGACGCCGTGGTTGACGGCACCCCCTGCTACCCGGGCCAGCCCGGCCATGACCTCTGCATCAACGGTATCTGCAAGGTGTGCCTGAGCCGGAAGAGCGTTTCCCCCGCTAGCCCCCAGTGGGTTCCCCCACAACCTCCCCCGCGCCGGGTTCCCTGCCAGCCCCGCCCCTCCCCAGACTGTGCTGTGGGCTTCCGGGCTCTGCCATCCCATCAGCAGAGACCCCCACCCCTGCCGGCGCCGGGGCCCCAGACTCTGCACCACGGACCTTCTCACCCCCTCCGTGCGCACTGTCCACGGCCTGCACTGCGCAGCCCCCGCTGGGAAGCTGGTCCCCAGCCATGGCCCCACGCCCTTCTGCATCCATGACCCCAGGCAGCGGGTCTCTCTGTCCTAGAAATGCAGCCCATTCCTGCCTCCGTATCACGGGGTTCAGTGAGGCCTCTGCAGGGACCCGTGGGGCTCGAGCTGGCCGAGTGCGTCAGTGTTTGCTGGCGACACGTCCTCTTCTTTCCAGCGCCAGCGGTGGCCTGTCCTCCTTGCCCGTGTCCCTCTCCCCCTGCTGTCCCCGCCTTGCAGCCCCTGGGGTTGGGGAGCAACAGGGAGGTGCTCGCCCAGGGCCTTTGACATTGATCCCTGCTTCTGGGAGACTCGGTCCACTCTGGGTGGGCATCTCTGGGGTGCCCGTGCCCCGCCTGCTCTGTTCACAAAACGTGCCCTCTCGTGCCTCATGCCCCTCAGCGTGGCTTTATGGCCCCGACGGACCTCCCCGTTTCTCACTGGGGAAGCGCGCTCAGGGAGGCAGAGGGTCCCGCCTGAGGCCAGAGGGCACGACTGGTGGGCAGGCCTTGAGCAAGGAGGCCCTCCTCCTCACTCTGGCAGACCCGGCAGCTGGGGCCGGAGCCGGGGCCGGGGCTGGGGGCTGGCGGCTGGCGGCTGGCGGCTGGCACGAGGGCCTCCCTCCCGTGTATTCCAGAATGTGGGCTGTGACTTCAAGATCGACTCCGGGGCCATCGAGGACCGCTGTGGCGTGTGTCACGGCAATGGCTCCACCTGCCACACCGTGAGCGGGACCTTCGAGGAGTCTGAGGGCCTGGGTACGGGCTGGCGCCCCTGGTGGGGGGAGCTCCTAGGTCAGTGTCCCCTCCTTGGTCCCCGGGGTTCCCACCCAGCCTAGAGACGGGAAGCAGGGAAGCCGCTCAGACTGGTCCTGGCCGTTGTTGGGGCACCTTGGCCCAGATGCGGAACTGTCTTCAGAGGGCACCCTCCTGCCTGGGGACCCCGGGTAGGCTGATCGGGGTGATTACGGGTGGCCCCAGACCTTTCAGAGGGCTCCTCCCTTCTGGGGAGGCTTCAGAGACCCCCAGCACCACTCCCACACCCCCAGGTCTGTTTCACAGACATTGCTTGAGCGCCTACTGTGTGCTAGGTGAGGAGGGCACAGAGGCGAGGAGCTCACGGTCTGATGAGTGGCCGAAACGTTTAGTGTGCAGTGTCTAGTTTAGGCTGAGAGCGCTGTGGAAGGAGGTCCTGACCGGGGGCGTCCGCGGGGACTTCCGGGAGGAGGTGGCAGGTTAGCTGAATCACAAAAGGCTCAGGGGAGGTGGGAGAGGTGTTGCACTGGGAAGAAAGATCCGGAGGCGCATCTCTGTCCAGGACTGAGGGTTGGGGTGCCATGGGCTCTGAGTGCCGGGCCAGGACACCCAGCTGCAGCCCACAGAGCCCAAGGCACGTTACTTCGTTCCTTGGGCCTCAGTGTCCCCATCTGTCAGACGGGGATGACGGCGGTACCTGTGCCCTAGGGGGAAGCATGTGGAGTCTGTGAAAGGACAGTGAGGCTGGCAGTGAGGACAGTGTCCAGGGAAAGGGCCAGGCTGGTGGCACGGACTGCAGCCCAGTGTCCAGGAGTGGGTGAAGACAGTGGGTCCCGGTGGCAGGACTTCAGGGGCCTTCGGAGGTTTGCTCGGTGACCCAGGACAAAGGGATGCCTCTGCCTTTTGCGGAGCTCAGAATCTTGAGCTCTTGGTGGGATCAGCCGCCAGGGGGACCAGGAAGAGAGGGGACGACCACGCCCCTTACCCTTGGCACCGCGCCTGGCCCACAGGCTACGTGGATGTGGGGCTGATCCCGGCCGGTGCCCGTGAGATCCGCATCGAGGAGGTGGCGGAGGCCGCCAACTTCCTGGCCCTGCGCAGCGAGGACCCCGAGAAGTACTTCCTGAACGGGGGCTGGACCATCCAGTGGAGCGGGGACTATCGGGCGGCGGGCACTACCTTCACATACGCACGCACCGGCGGCCGGGAGAGCCTCACGTCCCCCGGCCCCACCCATGAGCCCGTCTGGATCCAGGTGCCTGCCCCCACCGCGGGACTCGGATGGGGGAGCAGGGTGGGGCCCGAGGGACTCAGCCCGCGCCCTGCCCTCCTCTCCCCGCCTGTCCTGCGGCCGCCCTGGGGCCCAGAGTGGTCGGGCTTGGCTCCTTGGGGGTGGCTGTATGGGTGGGTGGAGGGGACACCTGGTGCTCACGGCCCTTGCCCGCCGCCCCCAGCTGCTGTTCCAGGAGAGCAACCCTGGGGTGCGCTACGAGTACACCATCCACAGGGAGGTAGACGGCCCTGCCCAGGTCAAGCCGCCCGAGTTCTCCTGGAGCTATGGGCCGTGGACCAAGTGCACGGTCACCTGCGGCACAGGTGAGGACGGGTCGGCCCAGGGTCTCTGAGCAGCGGGGCCGGCTTCCGCCTCCAGCTCAGTGCTGGTTGGCGAGAGCCCACGGACTGGAGCGCAGGCCCCTGGACCCCCGCAGCCCTGCGTCTGGAGTGGGGCTGCTGAGAGCCGCGTCATACGGGTCTGCCGGGATGGGGCAAGGCCGGCACCATGCTGCATGTGGCCCCCAGAGAGGACGCAGCCATCCCACCCTTTGCTCACATGGCTCACCCCGACTGGCCTCCCGCCTGTGTCTCTGCCCCGTGCCGGAGACCTGACCCAAGGTCCCTGTGAGTGTGGGCCCCGTGCCTCACCCAGCTCCTGCTGCAGAGGCACCCCACTGCCCCTCAGTGTCCGGGGAGCTTGGCATCGGGAATCCGGGACACACATCTGAGTGTTCCCAAAAGTGCTCGTTTGATGATAAGATGAACACTGGCCCCCGAACCTTGGCACAAATCTTCAAAAGTCGTTAGAAGGCTCTTGTGCCATGTAAGCATCCCTAAACTTACAACCATGAAAGCAAATCCACTGGACAGACTAGACACCGGGGCCTTGTTCGGTGGAGTGGTGGCGGCCGTCGGGGGTGCGTGCTGAGCTGTGGGTACGGTCCCTGGCCCTGGCTGGCTGGAGCGGCTCAGGCCCCGGGGGGTGGTCCAGGCTGGCAGGATGGCCTGGGGTGCCCTTAAGGACCCAGGAGCTTCCTCCTGTCAGTGAGTCCCCCTCACACCTGTGAGATGGCCCTCTCCTGGCCTCTTAAGGTCCAGGCAGGAAGGAGGGGCCTGGGGCTGACCCCCACGGGGGACTTGTGCCCTCTTCTCCCTGGAAGGACTGTGCCCCAGACCTCCCTCAGTGCACAGGCACTACAGCAAGGGCCCACGGTTACCTTGCACAGCAGAATTCTGTTAGGGAGGGAGGGAGTGGGTAGGAGGTGGGAGGCTCAGGCTGAGGAGATGCACTCTCCTGGGCTGTGAGGGAAGCAGGGACAAAGGCAGAGCCTGCTAGAGGGGGTCCTGCTGCTGGAGACGGGGTGGGGGTGCATGGTGAAGGTGAGCGGCACAGCCGTGCAAAGACCCAGAGGCAGGTGGTGGCAGGACAGGAACATGGACAAAGGTGGCAGGGACTGTGGGGCTGGAGAGGAATGTCTGTCTGCTGGGGTGGAGGAGAGGTCTGATGAGTTTCCTCGCTGCTCCCCCTTTTCTGAACACGGACCCTGCTGGGAGGGAGGCGCTCAGGCCGGGGTTGGGTTTGCAGGACTCCATGATGTCCTCACTCACTGGCGGCTTCGAGGCAGGTATTACTGCTCCAGACAAAGATGCTGAGGTTCAGAGAGGCCCAGTGAGCTGCCCAAGGCCTCCCAGCTAGGAAGCCAGAGGGCTGGCCACCATCCCCCGAGCCTGCACACTCTGCTCCCCTCTAGGGCCAGAGGTGTAGGCCGGGAGGACAGTGAGGAGGAGGAGGGAGGACTTGCTCTGGGAGCGACTAGCAGAGTGGATGTGGGCTTGTGTTGGGGTGCAGGGCAGCTCAGGTGGGGGCACTCTTGGTGCCAGGCTGAGGCTGAGCCCCCGCGGCCCCCAGGGGTGCAGAGGCAAAGCACGCACTGCAGCGAGCGACAGGCGGGGCCCGTGGACGAGAGACACTGTGACCCCCTGAGCCGGCCTGACGACAGGCAGCGGAAGTGCAGCGAGGAGCCCTGCCCAGCCCGGTGAGCCGGCCCCCCACTGCCCCCTCTCCCGGGGACCCCAGCGGAGCAGAGGGAGCAGGGCAAGGCCTCCCTTCCCAAGCCCCGGGGGCTGGCTGCCCCCGCCCCACCCGGCCTGCCGGGGACATCCCAGGTGTTGTGTGTTCGGGGGCTCAGATGGGCTCGGGACTTGCCCGGCTCCCCCAGGGGTGAGGGGGGAGGAACACGGGGGGCTGTGCCCTGAGCCGTGGGGACCCCGACGCTGACAGCCCGGGTGCCCGGCAGGTGGTGGGCGGGGGAGTGGCAGCAGTGCTCCAGCTCCTGCGGCCCCGGGGGCCTCTCCCGCCGCACCGTGCTCTGCATCCGGAGTGTGGGGCTGGACGAGCAGAGCGCCCTGGAGCCGCCCGCCTGCGCCCACCTCCCCCGGCCCCCTGCTGAGACCCCTTGCAACCGCCACGTGCCCTGTCCAGCCACCTGGGCCGTGGGGGACTGGTCTCAGGTGAGCATCAGCACGGGAGGGCCCGGCCCCAGCTCCGCCGTCGGGCTTGGGCTCTGGGCAGGTGGAGGCCGTCTTCAGGGGTCCCTGACCGCCCCACGGCGGGAGGGAAGGAGGTGGGGGCATTCCCCGGCTGGCCCATGTCCCCACAGCCCCAGGGACAAGGGTGCCCCGGCAAGCCGCTGCCACCACCGGGCATGGTCTCGAGTTGGACAGGGCCGGAGAGAGCGGGCCTACACCTCTCGTCTGACCTCGAGCAGGGGCAGGTACCCCACTGGACCCCAGCTTCCCCTGGTCTGTGCCCCTCAGCCTGGTTTCCTCTGCAGTGCTCAGCGACGTGTGGGGAGGCCACTCAGCACCGAATTGTCCTCTGTACCAACAACACCGGCGTCCCCTGCGATGAGGCCCAGCGGCCAGCCACTGGGGCCCCCTGCTCCCTGCTGCCCTGTCCTCGGGGCCCGGACCTCGAAGGCTCAGGCAGCGGCTCCTCCAGCCGCGAGCTCTTCAATGAGATCGACTTCATCCCCCCACGCCTGGCCCCACGCCCTCTGCTCCCCTCATCCTTTGAGCCGGCTGGCATGGGCAATGCCATCGAGGAGGACCCGGAGCTGGGCCCGCCGGGGCCCGTGTTTGTTGACGATTTCTACTATGACTACAACTTCATTAACTTCCACGAGGACCTGTCCTATGGGCCCTTCAACGAGCCAGACCCAGACCTGGCAGGGGCAGGGGACTGGACACCCCCACCCCTGAGCAGTCCTGCCGAGTCCCCCACAGGCACCCCCCTGCCAGCCTCAGAGCCTCCTGGGACCGAAAAGGAGGGGGCACTGGGAGACGGGACCCCTGCCCCTCGGCCCAGCCAGGCTGGCCGCTCTCTGGCCCCACCCTCGGAGCAGGCCCCTGGGAACCCCCTGGTCAATTTCTTACCTGAGGAGGACACCCCCACCGGGGCCCCAGACTTGGGGTTCCCTAGCTGGCCCTGGCCCCCCGCTTCAGTCGGTGGCACGGAGACACCTGCTGCCCCTGGGGGCCAAAACAGGCTCCCGGGAGGGGAAGACAGCCGGAGCCAGCCGTACCCCCCACGCTGGCAGGGGGCCAACGAGCTCTCTGAGGACGAGGAGGAAGACTTAGACCCCCGAACAACAAGCCTGCCCCAAGGACCCCACCCCACGTCTCCCCCTTTGCCCTCCTTTAGCACCAGCCGTGCTTCCCCCAGTCCTGACACAGGAGATCCATGGACGGTGGGGACCGTGGCCTGGGAACCAGTTCTGGGCGGTGGCCAAGGCCCTGTGGACACCAAGCTGTGGCCCCCCATTGGGGGAGATCCTTCCCCTCCTCCCCCAGCCACTCTGCCAGCCACCTGGGGCGGGGCCAGCCCCCTGGAACCGGGCACTCCCACCCCTTCAGCCCCGTGGGACCTGCAGACCGAGGCTGTGCCAGGAACCTTCCTTCCGATGCCCACCCCTGGCCTTGAGCACACATTTTGGGGGCTGGCCCCAGGACCTGTGGGCCAGCCTGAAGGCCCTGGCTCTGAGGTGCCCCGGAGCCCCGTGCTGCTGCCAGCTCAGGACAGTTCGGCCAACAGCAGCAGAGTCCCCGAGGCCAAGCCCCTGGACCCCGGCCTGGCCGAGGACTGGCCACCAGCTGGGAATGCCAGCTGGGAGGTGGGAAGCTGGAGCGAGGTAAGGCGCTGGGGTCGAGTAGGCCCTGCTGACCGCGCACTCATCGGGAAACAGGCCCTGCGTCCCAGATGTGTGGGGATGCCGGGATCCGGGGACGGGCGGCCCGTGACCCCAGATCATCCTGTTGCCCTCTGTGTGCCCCCGGGGGCAGTCTGTCCTGTCAGCCTCAGGTTTCCATGTGAGCAGTAAGGGGCGCGAGGGGCCCATCTTCCAGTCTCGGGGTCTCCCGAGGTCCGTGCCGGAGCAGCACAGGGGCCACAGTGCAGGGAAGGCGGAGGCGCACGCGGAGCCCCGACCCTCAGACTCCAGCTTGTTTGCTCCCGGCACTGTCCGGGGCAGCTGTGTGGTGTGGAAGCCCTTCGGGGGCTCGGGGGCCCAGTGGGCTTCCCCAGGGTCAGTGGGCCTCAGCCCTTCTTCTCCAGGGGCTGCTCAGGCCCTCGCCACCTGGAACGCCCTCGGGGCCCCACCCTGCTCGGTCAGGGGCCTCGAGGTCTGAACTTGACGGACAGAGGCTGAAGGGCGCCCGCACATCATCCCTGTGGAAGTTGTGTCTAGACGCCTCATTCTGGGGTGGGGAGGGACAGGCAGGGACTCCACGAAGGATCCAGACTCCCTTCCTAGGGGATTTTGGGGAGTAGTGAACCTGGTCGTGACCACGAGGCCCCCTCCTCTGTCCCCTGTGAGTGGGGACAGTTGTGTCTCCTTGGAGGCGGGTGGAAGAGCTCATTTTGCAGATGAGGAAGGTGAGGCGCTGGCTCCCCCGCCCCCCCGATGGGCGGCCCCGATTGGGATGGCACGGGGTGGTGCCCGCCCTCACGCCTGTGCCCTGGCCCCGGTCCCTAGTGCTCCACCACCTGTGGCCTGGGCGCCGTCTGGAGGTCCGTGCGCTGTAGCTCCGGCCGCGAGGACGACTGCCCTGCCACTGGCCGGCCCCAGCCCGCCCGCCGCTGCCACCTGAGGCCCTGTGCCGCCTGGCACACGGGGAACTGGAGTAAGGTGTGTGGGCCTCGGGGTGCATGCCAGGTCCGCCCGGCCCCCTGTGCAGGCTGGGGCGGGGGGGCTCTGCGCCTCCGTCCTTGGGCTCGTGTGGCTGCCTCCTCCCCTTTCCCTGGGTTGCTCGGACCTGCTGTGAGCCCGTTGGCTGCCGGCTGCCCTCCCCCTCGGGGTTTCACTGTCCCCGCCGCTCCCTTGTTCGTCCCCGTCCACCTGGCCCCTGGGCGGCTGCCCTGGCTCCTGGCCAGATCTCTCGGTGTTGTGGGGGCACGGGGTCCGCTCACCCCACACCCCGGCCTGCAGTGCTCCCGCAGCTGTGGCGGGGGGTCCTCTGTGCGGGACGTGCAGTGCATGGACACGCGGGACCTGCGGCCGCTGCGGCCCTTCCACTGCCAGCCGGGGCCGGCCATGCCGCCTGCGCGCCGTGCCTGCGGGCTGCAGCCCTGCCTCAGCTGGTACACCTCTTCCTGGAGGGAGGTGAGGCTGGGAGAGCCCAGGGCGGGGCAGGGTGTCCTCAGACTCTGGCTGCACCCCAGCCCTCTCCCTGCCCGTCCCACCCTTCCAGTGCTCGGAGGCTTGTGGCGGTGGCGAGCAGCAGCGTCTGGTGACCTGCCCGGAGCCGGGCCTCTGTGAGGAGACGCTGAGACCCAACAGCACGCGGGCCTGCAACACGCACCCCTGCACGCAGTGGGTGGTGGGGCCCTGGGGCCAGGTGAGCCACCCATGGGCGAGGTTAGGGTCCCGCAACCCAGGCCTCCTTGTCTCAGGAAGGAATCGCCCCGTGCTGTGCATCAGGCGCTCTGGTCACCACATGGTGGTGGCAGCCAGGCGAGGGCCTGTGATTTCACGACAGGTGCTAGGATGGGGGGCCAGGGTGAGGCCTGCGGGGCTCAGTGGTTAGAAGCCTGACAGGATGGAGGGCCCTGGTGGGGGCACTTGCCACCACCTCCTCTTGGCTGCCCATGGCTGTGGCCGGCCCTGCCGACCTGTGTCAGGGTTTGCCCCCACCTTCCGGGGGCTCCTGGGCCCCTCCCTGGCCCTGCAGGGCTCTGAGGGGCCGGGGCAGGGCGGGCGACGGGGTGGGAGCCGTTGGTTGCAGGGACTCGCCTGGGGAAGGTACTGGCAGTGCCCCAGGGGTGCCCTGCCCCCCAGGTCCCAGCCTGGCCCAGGGGGACCCTGACCTCCCCCGCTTTGCGCAGTGCTCAGCGCCCTGTGGCGGAGGCGTGCAGCGGCGTCTGGTCCGGTGTATCAATACCCAGACGGGGCTGCCCGAGGAAGACAGTGAGCAGTGCAGTCACGAGGCCTGGCCCGAGAGCTCCCGGCCGTGCGGCGCCCAGGATTGCGAGCTCGCCGAGGCACCCCGTGAGTCAGTGGCGCCGTGCGCGGGGTCGGGGTGGGGAGGACCAGGAGACGGGATCCTCGGTGGCCCACGGAGGACTGTGAGGCTGCGGGCCAGAGCTAAGGGGGTCCAGCCTCATGGGCACCCTGCGGGCACCCCGCTCTAGGGCAGGAAGGGGGGTGGCAGCAGACACGGCCCCCAAGTCGCTGTGTGACCTCCAGCAAGCTCCCTTTTCCCCTGGTGTCCATGGCCCACTGAGTGAGGCCAGGGATGGGTGAGCCGCCGGCCCCCACTCTGGCTGGGGGAGGGGTGCCCAGAGCATGCACCGTGGCCACAGAAGGTGGTCTCCCTGCCAGGGTCTGGCTGGCCGCTGGCAGCTGGCTCTTTCCCGGCCAGCTGTGTCCTCCTGGAAGAAGGGCCCGAGCCAGAGGTGGCCAGGGACCCGGCACACGTGCCTTCCGGCAGCCCAGCCTCCCCGGCACTGCTAAGTGCAGGAAGCTGGCCCTGGACTCACACCTGGGCCCCTTCCCAGCTCTGTGGCCTTGGGCTCCACTTCCTGGGCAGGGTGAGCACCTGAGCAGAAATAAGGTGCTGGGGGGAGGGCCCAGGAGGTGCTCGGGGAAGGTGGTCACTGTCTGTGCGGGTAGCCGCCATGAGGTCAGGAAGAGAGCTCAGGGCCCCTCTGTCAGTGGGGGGACCCTGGTGGCTTCTGTGCCTCTCAGCTGCTGCCCCCCCGCCCCGAGGACAGTCTGCAGCCGTCAGGGTGGCCGTCAGTGCCTCAGGGACTTGCCCCCGCCTGCCGTCTCGATGCCACAGGCTCCTGGTGGCCCTGGTCCAGGCCCAGAGGAGAAGTGGCCTTGCCACGCTGCCCGGGCCTCCTCCCATCCCAGGGCCCCAGACCCCTGCAGGGGTGCCGCTTGCCCTGCCCCGACGCCGGCCCCCGTGGGACTCCCCAGCAGCGGCTACAGCACCTGTCTCCACATGGGGGCTGCCCACAGCTCCTTGCGGCCCTTCACACTGGGCTCCGGGCCATGGGAGCTTGGGTGGCTGGGCTGTCTGCTGGGAACTGAGGCCAGGGGTCTGGTGGACTGCAGGCGGGGGCTGGGGGGTTGCTTACGTGGCTGAACCGCCAGGTGTCCCCCATGAGGCATTCAGGGCAGAGGCTGGTGCGGGGAGGGCACTGGGACGCCAGGATCCTGGAGCCCCAGGATGTTTTGATGGTTTGGGGAATGTGTGACAAGACATTTAAAAAGCCTGGAAACTCCAGGGTGTGTGGTCACCACGGTGAGCAGCTGACCTAGCGTGACCCACATCCGTTTGTGGGGAGGAGGGTCACTGGCAGAGGAGGGAACTGTCCCCCCACCCCCCGAGGTTAAGCAGCTTGCGTGAGGTCACACAGTGAGAACAGGACGCAGGTCTGCGGCCAACAGCTGCTACCTCCTGCCCTCTGCCAAGCCCACGGCTGTGCACGGCCGTTCCTTCCCTCCTCCCCCGGGACGTCTGCGGGCGTGAGCTGGGCAGCTGGGGGCCGTCCGCGGCAGCGGGAGCAAGGCCAGGAGGCTGGAAGTGAAGTGCTTCCCAAAATAGCTCCGATAAGCACAGGGCAGGAGGGCCAGCCAGCTGCAGCCTTCCTCCGTCCCTGCTCCGGAGGCCCGGCCTGTACGGGGACAGCCCGGGCCCACCCCTTCTCCCCAGGCCTCCGGCCCGGAAGCTGAGGCTGAGGCCGACCTGGGGGGCTGCAGGGGGTCGGGAGGGATGGAGAGGGGCGGCAGCAGGCTGGCTGGCTTCTCAGGAGCACTTGAGTTGGTCGGGGGTGGGGGTCCCAGGGCCTTTCCTCTGGAAAGCGGGGTGTAGCCGGGCCAGTTCCCCAGAGACCTGGGGGTACAGGTGGGACAAGGCCAGCAACAGTTGGAGCCCAGAGACCCTGGGAGAGGCAGGCGGCCCGCCACGGCGTCCAGGCTGCAGCCTGAGGGGCCTCCCTGCCCTGCCTCCCCGTCTTCGCAGGCTGTGAGCGGGACCGTCTGTCGTTCGGCTTCTGCGAGACCCTGCGCCTGCTGGGCCGATGCCAGCTGCCCGCTGTCCGCACCCAGTGCTGCCGCTCCTGCCCCACTCCGGGCCACGGAGCCCCCTCCCGCGGCCACCAGCGCGTCGCCCGCCGCTGACCACCCCCGTCCGGGACGCACGGATCCGCCGACCCCTCACCCAGACGCACGGACCTCACGCCCCACTGGGGGCTGCACCCCGAAGGTGCTAACCCGGCCTGCTGGTGGCGGGCTGGGGACCCCTCCCCCAAGAAAAAGTATTTTTTTAACAGTTTGCATAACCTTTATTATTATTATACATAAACAAGCACCCAGTTCTAACCTGCTGCGTGGCTTCCTCTCACACCGGGAGAGTTTCAGGGCCCGTCTCCTGCTCTCCGTCCTCCTCATGTGACCCTGTGGTGTATGGTGGCCTCCATGGGTTGTGGGGAGCAGTGGTCCTGGCCACGCTCGTTCTGTGCCCCCAGCTCAGGCCCCGGCCCTTCCCCTGCATCCCCACCCCAGGGCCTCAGAGACCACGGTCTCACGGCGACCGGCTCACGGCCCACCTCGGGCAGTAGGAACTGCCCCCTGGGGATGGCCTTGAGGGCTGTGGGACCCCCACGTTAACTCACCTGCACCAAAGGGAGGAGGCGGCAGCTCTGTGGAGCCTGGTGACCTCCCAGGGGTGACAGGGCTGCCGGCAGGAGCAGATGGACGGCCCCCATTTGTCCCTTTCTGCCATGGGCCCCGTGTTCAGAGCTGGCTGGGCGGGTGGTAGCTGGTTCTGTCCCCCTGCCAGGCCTCCACCCACGGATCCGGGCCCCTGAATGCGGCAGCAGGGGCAGAGGTGCTGCAAGGGGCTTCTGGGCTTCAGCCCGGCCCTGCCAGCCCCGGCCCCTCCTCTGGAAGTGGCCGTGTCGTTTGGAACCTGCTCCCCAGTCCTGCTCCTGGGGCCTGGAATGCCCCTTCTCCAAATGGGGGACAGTGAAGTTCAGGGAGGTCCAGGCCCCCAGATGCCTGCAAGGGACACGTCCTGTGACGTGCATGGTGGTTTCTGAGCTGTGTGTGGTGGGGTGAGAGGGCCATGTGGCCCCTTATGGCTGGCTGGGGGCAGGAGGGGGCCGCGGAAAATCACTCCCCAGGGACCGAGAGCGAGAGACCCAGCAGCCGCTAAAGCCAGTCACAAGTGCCAGCCAGTTCCTCTGAGGAAGGGACAGAGGGCAGAGCTACTGTCCGGCTTCCCACTCTCCGCTCACACACCAGAGCCATTCCAGGGACACGCCCCACGGGGCCCAAGAAGCCCCCGGCTTGGTGCGGGTCCGGCCAGGCCCTCCTGGAGCCCCCCTCCCGCGAGCCGCTGTCCCTGCAGGCCCCAGGGGGGCTGCGTGCAGGGACAGGTGGGCTGAAGTCACTCCGGAAAGCAAGTGTCCCTGGCCTGTGCGTCCCAGCATCGCTGCTCAGTTGGGGAGGAAGGGGTACCAGACTTCCTTCCTGTGTTTGCGACAGCCCTGCAGGCCCAGGAGGCCCCGGGGACCCACACTCTGTAACGGCTTCCCGGGGCCGGTGCGGCGCATGGCGGCAACCCTTCTGAGGACGGGGCCTCTGCCTCTGGGCTCCTGCCCCATGCCGAGCATGGGGGTCCCTGTCCCAGTGCTGTGACCTTAGGTGCCCCAGGCCTCGCTGAGTCTGTCCCAGGAGGAGACAGCTCAGCCCATCCTATCCGCTCGCTCTGGAAATCCCCCCGGCGCCCCTCCCCCACACTGTGGAAACACATTTGGACTCAATCATGCTTGCGTGTGTTCCCGACGGTGGGGACGAGGGGGATGGCGTCCCCCGCAGCAGCTGGGCTGGAACAGTCATCCCAGACAGGAGGCAAACAGCCTGTGACTCAGGCGGGCACGACGCAGCTGTGGCGGGGGCCTGGGGGGCTGCTCCGGCTCCTGACTGAAGCCCAGGACCCCGAAGCGCTCCCCTCGGTGCCCCCAGTTCCCCTGCGGCTTGACCGCGGCTCCCAGGGCTGCACGGCCGACCGAGAGCCCCGACCCACGCACCCCGGGGCAGACGGAGAGCGTGGACCTAGAAACAGCCAGCTGGCAGGTCAGAATCCGCCCCTCCCAGCCAGGTCCTGTCCCCTCTGAGCCCCATCATGAGGGACTGCAACCGCATCTCAAACCAGAATGTTGTACAAATTAGTAGTTTATTTGGTTTTTTAGTATGACTGCTCCAAAATCTAACTCTGAGAAGCCACAGTGACAGCGAGGGAGGTCACCTGCCCCCACCCCCCTCGGGGCTGCCCCAGGCAGGCCCAGCTGCCCAGGGCACGTGCCGGAAGACGGCCCCGCACAAAGCCGGGGAGGGGGTCTGTGCACAAGTACGAATGCTGCGCTGGCGATTTGCCTAGAACACTTCCTATATGGACACGATGGGCAGGAAAGCCGACTCGGTCCAGCCCTGGGCGCCCTGGGGGCCGTGGGAGGGCAAGATGCGCAGGGACGCGCTACCTGGAGAAGCCGCCACACAGCAGCGAGGAGTCGTGCCGGCCACGGGGGACGCAACCCCCGCTGCTCTGTTCCTCTCTCTCTCTCTCACACACACGCGCACGTACACGTGCACACAGAGCTATTCACAAGGGAGAACACGTTATATAAAATAGGTGTATGTAATCTAGAAAAACCTTGGTAAAAATAGTCTATAAAAATATAAACTGTAGTAAAAAATATACAAAAGTATAAACAGATATTCAGCCTGTGAAACACCCAAGCAGTCCCCGTGCACGCCACCAGCTGCCCTGCGCTGTGGGCAGTGGATCCGCAGGCACACGGCCTGCTGCTCTCCACCCCGCCCCCCGTCTGGGCCAGGCCGAGCGCCCCCGCCCTCCGGACACCCAGGGATGGGGCGGCCCCGGCAAAGTGTCCCCCATATGCTCCCCCCACGACCGCACCGCTCTCATGGCCACCACCCGGCCACGGACAGCTCCCTGGTGACACCAGCATGGCCCTGCCAGCCGCGCCCGAAACCACAGCTCCAGCCACACACTGGCACCTGCGCCCACCTCCGGTGCTTCGAAGAGGGGCCCTTCTGGGGCAGAACAGACACAAGCAGCCCAGTCCGAAAGGCGGCATCTTCCCCCGGGATATGGCCGTTCAGGGAAGTCAGCTTGGAAACCAGAGCCCAACCCTGTGGGGCCTCCTCACTGCTGTGCCCCCACCAGTCAGCTGCCTGGGGCTGCGACGGGCACAGTCTGCGGATGGCAGTGAGGCCACGGCCCGAGCCGACCTCCAGCAGCCACCCCGTCCCCTGCCCCGGAGTGCTGGTGCAGCGGGATCGGGGACAGTCTGCTGACTGATAAAGCAAGAGCCGCGTTCCTGGGTAAGGCCTCCTTGCAGAGCCTCAGAAAGACGGCGCCCCCAGTCTGCAGAATGGCGTGGGCAGCCCGACCTGCTGGAGGCAGTGGGGACCCCGCAGCCAGGACCACGCAGGCCCCAGGGAGGGGCGAGGTTGCCTGCAAGGACGCGCATGCCTCTGGGCAGCATGGCGGGGGAACCGCTCACCTAAGCTGCGCCCCAAACGATGGCACTGGCCCAGCAGGTGGAGACCCCCAGCACCGGTGGACAGTGTCACCCCCCGCCACACCGCTGCCCTGTAGGGCATCCCCAGAAGCTTCCTGTGTCCCCTCCGGCAGGGCATGCCCCAGCAGTGGGCCTGCTGTGCAGAGTGGACTGTCGTCCCCACACAGTGACTCCACGAGTCACTCCGCAGACGGAAGGTCTTCCCCAGAACCTCCCGGAGCCGAGCTGGGCAAAGTGCGGGGTGGGATAGCCCAGCCACCCGCCGACAGCTGACGGGGCCGGGGGCAGTGTGGGGTGTCAGAGGGCCACGGGGCACCGCGGGCAGCTCGCCCAGCACGGAAGGCAGCAGGTTTCCACAGACCGCTTCTGAACGTGGATGCGCTCGCTCCGCTCACCTCACGGCCCCCGAAGAAGCCGCGCTCCGGCCTGGGGTGGGCTGGGGGGGACGCGCAGCGCAGCGGTGGAGTCGGGGGGGGGACGCGCAGTGCAGTGGTGGAGTGGCGGGGGGACGCACAGCGCAGCGGGCCCGTGCACGGGGGCGACCCAGGAGACGGCCCGCGGCAGGTTCCCGGGGTGCGAGCCATGCACAAAGCCCAGATGCGCTGTCAACGGTCTCTGGAAAGCGACCCGCAGTTCCCCCGGGGTGCACTGGGCAGCGCCCGCCCCGCACGGGAAGGCTGGACGCAGAATAGACCCGCCCGCGAGTAAGAAAGGGCAGCGTGGCCGCGGACGTCCACCCAGCAGACTTCCAGAAGCCACGGGCACCGCCTTCCGGCTTCCCGAGAGCAGAGACCCCCGCCGGGACCCTCTGGCACACTTTGGTTGTGAAGGCAAGAGCAGCGTCCTGGGGTGGGGGGCGCTCAGGTGTCCTCCTCCTCGTCACTGACCAGCTCGCCCTTGTCGGGGCTGGCGTCCCGCTCACGCAGGAAGTCCTCTCGGATGGCCTCCAGCTCCGTGAGCTCGAGCCGCACCTTCTCCAAGTGGTAGGAGCGCCGGTTCCGGATCTGGCGCAGGGGGAACGGGTTCAGGTCCCCGAAGGAGATACTGATCAGTTTCCTGGCGGAACACAGGACGGGGACAGAGATCAGCAGGGCGGGACACGGGTCAGGAACAGAGGTCATCAGGGCAGGACACGGGACGGGGACAGAGATCATCAGGGCTGGACACGGGACGGGGACAGAGGTCATCAGGGCAGAACATGGGATGGGGAGAGAGGTCAGCAGGGCAGAGCACGGGACAGAGGCCAGCAGGGCAGGACACAGGACAGGCCCTGGGGCAGGTGTGTCACCTAGAGGCCAGCCCTTTGTGCACAGAGGTTACGGGGCTGGCCCTGAGCCCCCACCTGGGTGGAGGCCCACGCTGGCTGTGTCACAGGGCAGGTAAGCGTCCTTCCCTTTCTGGCTTCTGACTCCCTGTCCGCTGGGAGCACCGTAATGCCACCTCCCGGGGTGTGGGGTTATCAGTGCGGCCACCGGCGGCATGGGACCGTGTCCGGCACGTGCTGGGCGGCTGAGGGCCGGCGTGCCTGAGCGGGGCCAGCAGGAGGCTGGTTTGGGCTTTCCTGGGACTGCCCGGGAGTGCTCGGACTGCGCCAGCGCCCACCAGGGCTCGGACATGGTCTGCACACGGGCGGGCTGTCGACGGGCTTCACACCACCCGCAGGTCCAGGCACCAATCCTGCTAATGTGCCCCTGGCCGCCGGCCTGAGGTTTAACAAAAGCAGAACAGAGCCCCCGGCTAGGGGCTCCAGCACTGACTGGGTCGGCTGTGGCCGCTCGCAGGTGAAGACAAAAGCCAGTTCCTCCGGCACTGAGGGGCCCACGCTCCAGCCCCAGCCTTGGGCGCAGCCGGCGAGCTCTCAGACGCCCACACCTCAGAGAGCCTGGCTCCAAACAGCTCCGGCAGGAGGTCCCAGGTCAGGGAGCCCAGCTTCGAAGGCCAAGTTCCCGCAGTGTTCGAGAACACAGGCGTGCGGGACAACGGAGCCGGCCTGAGGGGAGCGGGGCTGTAGGAGGCGTCTCCGGCAACAGACGTGCCGGCCAAGACCGGGGACCCAGGGCCCAAGTGATCAGAGCCGCTTCCCAGTTAGCCTGACACTCCCCGCCTCTGAGACCGGGCGTCCAGCTGACCCCAACTGGGCGTCCAGCCTCTCCCCTGAGACAGGGCGTCCAGCCCCCGCTTTGCCACAGAAGGCAGACCCAGAAGGCACCGAAGTCGTCGGTCGGCCTGTGCTGCTGCGGCTGTCAGCCCCGCGGACACAGCAGGACACGGCCCTGCAGGCTCAGCCAGGAGACCGCAGGTGTCCCGGGGTCAGTCGAGGCTGAATCCCCCAGAAGCCCCAACCTGAGACTGGTCTAACCCCATTAGCCCGACAGCCCCAAACACGCGCAGCCCAGAAGCCTGTCCCTCGTTCCTCAGGGAACCGCTCAGGTTTGCAGAACTGCGGGTCTGGGGTCTGGCCGTCACGGCGTCTGCGAATCTGAGTCCCGCGGACCCTGACTTCCCGAAGCCAGCGGCTTCCACTGACAAGGAGGCACGGCCACCGAGGCCGCGGGCGCTGGTGGCCCCACAGCCTGCACTCATCTCAACCCTGACCTCCCTGAACCTCCCGGAGGTTCACCCTGGACTTGGTGTCACTGGCCGTCACCCTCCAGCAGCACACGGCAAAGCTGAGGTCACTGCTGCACGCACGTCGGCGTGCCCGACGATACCCTCAGAACCTGCTTCCCGAGCAGGAGCTCTACAAACAGCAATGGCTTCCAGAGTCAGACGCGGCCTCCGCCAGCCCCTTTCCGCTCTCAGTGTCCCTTCCCCACACTGGCGCCCAGTGGCACTGGGGCCTGGAGGCTGTCCCACTGTGTCTCATCGGCTGGCCAAGGAGGGGGTGCCTGCCGGTTTCCCGGGGGGTTCTGAAGCCCGTTGTGACACATCAGTGGACAGAGGAGGCCATGTGGGGAATCGCGACCCGCATTTTGTAACAGGGAATAAAATCCCTCAGTATCCGACACAGACCTTTAGCAAGAACCAAACATTTCAACAAACTGTTTCGTTTCTACACACTCTGGAATGGGCATCCCAGGTCCTCAGACAAAGCACCCATCTTGGGAGCTACAGTCTCAAGAGACTGAAATGGGGGCACCCGGGGGGCTCTGTCGGCGGGGCACCTGCCTTCGGCTCAGGTCATGACCCCAGAGTCCTGGGATCAAGTCTCGCATCGGGCTTCCTGCTCAGTGTGAAGCCTGCTTCTCCCTCTGCCTGACGCTCCCCCTGCTTGTGCTCTCTCTCTTATGCTTTTTTCTCAGATAAATAAAATCCTAAAAGAAGTTTGAAATCACAAGCCACAGATACTTCTCAGCGTTAGGACCTGTCGCTCTCACAGGGCTGCATGAGCCTGACACGGGAGTGCACATGTGGGTGGGGACGGTGGCTCACGCTGGGCACTGTCCAGCAGAGGACTGTGACCTGTCCCCAGTGGCCCAGAGCCACACTGTCCTCCCCGGCCTGACCAGCTGCAGGTGTGTGGGAGCCCCCGTGGGAGCCCTGGGGAGCGTGGCCAGAGCAGCCACCAGCCGTGGTTGGGGCACATGCAGGACAATCGCCCCAAACGGGTGATGCCGTGTGGCAAGGGGGACGGGGGAGGGATGGGGAGACGCTCCCCTGACACGGGTGCCCAGCCAGAAGTCCCAGGGTCCTTACAGGTCCACGTCCTCTCCCACCCTCCAGTTCGCGCCTCGTCCATCTCTGGGGGCACCTCCAGCTTCACCCCAGGCCACCCGGACGCCCCGGCCTCCCCTCCCCCTGCTGCCAGTTCTCTTCTCGTCTTTCCAACACCCCAGGGACAAAGCCTGGTCCCGCTCTGCTCCCACCTGGCCACCCTGGCCTGCCCAGACCGACCCACTCCCACGGCCCCAGACACGCTGCCTCTCACGTCCCTGCTGCCGCTCCCACTCCCCGGACCCAGGACACCCTGTCCTGGGTGCCCCTGCCCAGCCCTGCTCACCCTGCCTTGCCCCCCGCCCGGCTCTGTCCCGGCCCTGGTCTTCCCCCCAGCAGCCCCCAGCCCCTCAGACGGCACGTCTCCCCTCAGGTTCTTTATCGGGGGCTGTCCCCCGCCCCGTCACCCTCAGCGCCCAGCGGCCTGTCCTGCTGTGAAGACTCAGCAAGTGCTTGCCGTGCCCAAGGGACACGTGTCGGCTGCATCCACAACGAGCCGTCCTCCCTCCTCGATCCCCCGGTCGGTGGGGCAGCAGTGTCCGCAGCTGCTCCCGCTCCCTGCTCTCGCACGGCAGGCCGGCGAGGCTGCTCTCCGCGGGGCAGGGCCGCCGCCTGCCGCTCCCGGGGCCCCAGCCAGCGCTCACCGGGCGTCCAGGATGGTGCGCGTGAAGTAGCGCAGGTATTTGAACATGGACATTGGGTCCTGCAGCTTCAGGATCTCCTCCTCCTTGTACTTGAAAAGTGCCAGCGCAAACCGGAAAATGACCTGCGGGGAGCACGGGGACGTCCGTGGGCAGAACGTCCTTCCCCCGCCCGGGCGGCCGCCTCCCACACCCACGCCCGTCCGCGGCCCAGCAAAGGGTCCCTCCGTCTCGGGGACCCTCCCGCATCCCCGGCGAGCCGGCCACTCTGCCGGCACTGCCCGGTCGCCCAGCGAGCACACCCACCTTCGGGCCCTCGTAAAGGAAAGAGTCCCAGATCTTGAAGAGGACATCACTGACGACGCTGTCCACGAACACCACCAGGAACCAGTTGAACGTGATGAGGGTGTAGTCGACACCGTGCTGCTCTAGGTGCGCGTGCACCCGCGGCAGCTTCTCGCTCATGAGGTCCCGGAACACGCGCTGGTCCACCTGCAGGGAGGGGCTGGCGCTCAGCGCACTCCGCCTGGGCCGCCGCTGTCTCACATGCCCAGCCTTGCGCCCGCCCGCTGTCCACCAACTGTCACCAGGGCGCCGTGACCTAGAAGCCACCCGGACAGGCTGCTACAGGGCACTGGGAGTTAGCCTCGCCGCCTGCCCGTGATCCGGAGCTCTGGGGCTGGAGGCCGAGTCCTGGGCCCAAGAGGAGCAGTGACAGCAGCCCATCTGTCCCACAGACGCCCCCCGGATGTGGGGGTGGCATGGGGCATGGGGGTGTGGCTTCCAGGGTCCATGGGGTGGCCTGGGGAGCATCTCACCCACTCTCACAGGGCTGCAAAGGGTACCACAGGCCATGTGCAAACCACCATGGGACTCGGAGCTCTCATCCTCCCCCCATGTTGGGCACAGCGCTCTGCTGGGCATAGGGGTCCACCCCCACCCTGGCCCCCGAGGAGCGAGACGCAGTGCGGGGCGCCAAAGGCCGGGCCTGCTGGGTCAGCGTTGGCCGGGCCCCGGTGAGGGGTGCTGGCAGCACTCCTAGAGCCGTGCAGGTGCCATCCAGGGTCGCTGGAGAAGCATGGGTGGCCCAGGCTGGAAGCCAGGGATCCACGCAGGGGGCAGGTGTCCCCCACGGGCTCTCCTGGCCTCCGGCGGGGACCCACACAGACAGGCTGAAGTCACGGCCACCCCCAGCAGGGGCCCAATGGGGGCTCGAACTCACGACCCTGACATCGTGAACAGCTGAGATCAAGAGTCACACACTTGGGGCAACTGGGTGGTCAGTGGGTTAAGCAGCTGACTTTGGCTCAGGTCATGATCCCAGAGTTCTGGGATCGGGCCCCACATTGGGCTCTGTGCTCAGGAGGGAGTCTGCTTCTCCCTCTCCCACTGCCCCTGCTTGTGCTCTCTCTCTCACTGTCAAATAATAAATAAAATCTTAAAAAAAAAAAAAAAGAGTCACAGTCTCAAGCAACGGAGCCACCCAGATGCCCCTAAAATGACATTTTAAAAGGTTCTTCTTAGAGTGCCTGGGGGGCTCAGTGGTTAAGCATCTGACTTCCACTGTGCTCATGATCCCGGGGTCCTGGGATCGAGCCCCACATCAGGCTCCCTGCTCTGTGGGACTCCTGCTTCTCCTCTCCCACTCCCCCTGCTTGTGTTCTCTCTCTTGCTGTGTTTCTGTCAAATAAATCTTTTTAAAAAATAGCATATAGTAGATTTTTTTTTAAAAGGCTCTTTTTTAGGAGAATCTGAAACTTTAAACAGGCCCATGTTTCCTCCTTTTTAGAAGTTTTGCTTTTTCTTTAACGTAGAGGCTTTAACAATCAAAAAGACTTTTTTTTTTTAAGGGCGTGGTTAGAGTCAAGTAAGCATTACTAGTTGATATTGTAAACTTTAAAAGGCAACTAACTTAAAATGCTAAAAACACTGTTATAAAATGATTATGTTACTGTTACAAAAATGATTCCAAAGCGTTGTAAATTCCCCTCAGTACGTAAAAGACAACACAATACAGGAATCCTGCTGGAAACAAACATTTTGGCCAATCTGCCTTCTGACTAGAGCAAGAGACTAAGTCTCAGAGATGAGAACCGGGGGGTAAGCTATAACGGATACTCCTTAAAGCCCGCACAGAGTGCGTAAGCTGCTGCTGGAACGTCCCGCGGCGTGCGAACCGGCTGCCGGCCCCCCGCACTGTGCTCCCCGGGAAAGCAGCCCGGAGTCTCACAGGGCAAGCTGGACGGCTGTCCCACTGGGTGATACACCCCTGGGGACCGTCCCCAGGGAGCCCGCTCCTGTCACCCCGCAGGGTCAGTGTCACCCACAAGACGCAGTGCCTGGACATTCCAACAACGGCCCTGGAACCACACATAGGCAAGAGAGACGGACAGGTGGCCGCGGGGCGAGGGACAGCCGTGAGACCCCTTCTGCAGAGGAAGGGCAAGCAGGCGGTCCCCAGAGTGGGAGCGAGGCCATGCCCCAGCCCTCCCAGGCAGGTGGCAGGTGGTGCCTGGCTCGGGAGGCCGCGTGCAGAGCCGCCCGCTGGGTCGACTCCAGCACCCTGCGCTCAGGAGGACATGGGAGGACACTGTCCTCAGTGCCCACCAAGGTCCTGGCACCCAGCATGCACTCAACTGACAGGATGGACAGAGGCTGCAAACTCTGGCCCGTGGCGGCGGTCTGATGGGGACTTGTGAATCTCGGCACCGGGGCTGGCCACACTCGCTGCCCCACGGCACGGCCTAACCCGGAGCCTGCCGTCGCAGAGTACACGGGTTACGTGGATTTGCCTGGTGGAGGGCGACCGCCACCAAATACGGCTGTGACAAAGCACAGAACGACATGGGAGAGCCCTCATGCTATCGTGTGAGCCGGCTGGGACGTGTCCTGCCCCCAGCACGAGTACCTGAAGTACATTTGGAGGAGAAAAAGCAAAAAGGAAATACATGAGAAGGCCAACTGTGGCCCCTAGCGGGTCGGATAACACAGGTTTTTGTTTCCTTCTGAACATCTGGATCCCCAGCCACCAATTCTTTGAGGGCACCCACGACTTTCACTGTCGGGGAGGAAACAGGCTCTTTGGACTTGACAATTGCGTTTACGTGACAACATGATACATGTTTTATCTTAAATCCACATAATTAAAACAGGTTTTCATTTCCTGCCTATAAGGATAATCTACGAGTTTTTATGCTCCAAGTGTTAGCACAAGCTCGTAACGCACCATCTGAGTTCAGCCTGGAGCGGTCTACGCGGGCGGGGGCGCTGCTCACATCCCAGCAGGGCAGCCGAGGTGCCCGGGTGTGGACGGAGGTGGCCAGGCTCCATGGTACACAGGCGGGAGGGCCTGGCTCAGAGGATTTAAGACAGACGAAGGCCTCACCCTTCTTATTTTGAAACAGTCATCTGACATCTCCGCAGCTATTAGCACCCAGGCGTCCGTGATGCACGGAATTTAATTTACTGACCTCTTCACTCCCATCAGACAGTGACGACTGCCTCTTCCCATGGCTCATTTCCTAGTTTACAAAATATTCTGGCAAGAAGAGCCTCCAGGTGATTTAGCAAAGTGACATGCTCACGGGGAGACTCGCTGAGCCTCTCCCCGGATCGGTTGGCCCCTGTGGCACTGGGGCCACTCAGGAGAGCTGCTTTGTGTCTCTGACCTCCAGTTTTCTCCCAAGTACAGTGGGGACAACAATGCCTCCACCAGGATGGTTTTGGCGCTGAGTGCCAGCTCCCTGTCCCCAGTTGGGGCGTGCATGCACACTCAGCCACTGGCCATGTGGGGGAGCCGGCGAGTCTGGAATGAGCATCAGGGCCGTGGCCGGCTGCAGGACGAGCAGGCCCACAGGGAGGTTCCCGTCAGACGGCCACGGTCCCCGAGGCGCGCACCAGAGCTGTGGGAAGAGCAGTGGCCTCGGGTCAGTGGGCAACACAGTTGCGCCCAGAGCCCAGGCTGAACGGGAGGTGTGTGGGGAGGCAGCAGGGGACGGTGACGGGGGGGGGGGGGTGTCAGCTGCACATGGAAAACAGGGCGTTTCCGGGAGCAAGGGTTCCATTGTAGGGCACCATGTGGTTCCTGTGACACGGGGTGGGAAATGGGGAGGTGACGCAGAGATGCAGGAACGGGGGTCCCGGGCGGGGGTCAGGGGTCAGAGGGGAGCAGGCATGAGCCGCCAGGCAGGTGGCAGCGGCAAGAAGCCTAACAACAGGGCCGCAAAGCGACAGGAACGAGGCTGCATCCAGGCTGGGGGGCAGGGGCCGGGGCAGGTGGTCACGGAGGCCATGACGAAAGGCACACATAGAACTCAGGGCCCAGCCAGGCAAACGGACGCCACCCTCACTGTCTACGGCAGAAGGATCCTACGCGGGGACACGGCCACGGGTGAGAGAAAAGCCGAGAAGCCACGCGGCTGATGGAGTGGCCCAGAGGCAAGGGCAGGAAGCTGCCTGTGGCTGGAGCACGGAGATGCCGGGGCCTAGGGGCCTGCCAGACAGGAGCGGGCACCACGGAGTTGTCCAGGCCACAGGAAGCCAGCGTCCACGACAGTGGGGTGAGAATGGCCTGCCCTCCCCTCCAGCCCCTGCTGGTCCCCTGCCTGGGCCTCCTCTGGCCGCTGCAGGGCCGGGAAGTTCAGGCCCATGAGCAGGGCTGTCAGCTGCACAGCGGCCCCAGACTGGCCCAGGGGATCTCTGGCCTGGGCCCCAGGGGCTGCTCCTGAGCCAGAACTGCCCACGTGGGGATGGCCCTGGGCTCTCGCCGCCCACATCGCCCTGTCTGCCCTGGCTTCAGGCTCCAGGCGTGGCAGGCATGAGCTGTGCCCTCATATCTCCTGCCAGAAGGGGACAGCAGCCCACAGGCCGCCCCTCTGGGTCCAGCACTACCTCCGCTGCTCGCAGCCAGGGAGCGACCCCGGCAGGCCCCAGTGCAGCCTGTTCCCGTGAGACGCACGCCCGGAACAGGCGGCCCCAGCGTGTGCACTCCCCACCGGCCTGGCCAAACTTCCTCTCTCTGAGGTCCGTCCCACCCGTGCCTCCTTCCTTTTCCTGGTCTGGGGGTTCCCCAGCCTCCCCACTCCCACCGCCAGTTCTTCGCAGGTGCCTCCCCTCAGAAATTTCGGGCTCGTCCACTCCTGCCTTGGCCTCAGCTTCTCCGGAGAACCCGAAGTGACACATCAGGTTTCCAAGTACTCCTGGACCGCAGCTTAGCTGCCCAGACAAACAGCAGTGTCTGGGGACGGTGGAGCCCAGGGGGCAGCAGAGCCAGGAGACAGAGGAGCCCGGGGGATAGCAGAGCCATGGGGACAATGGAGCCCAGGAGGCAGCTGAGCTCCAGAGGACAGCAGAGGGGCACCTGGGTGGCTCAGTGGGTCAAGCCTCTGCCTTCGGCTCAGGTCATGATCCCAGGGTCCTGGGATCAAGCCCCGCATCAGGCTCTCAGCTCAGCAGGGAGCCTGCCTCCCCCTTCTCTCTGCCTGTGTCTCTGCCTACTTGTGATCTCTGTCAAATAAATAAATAAAAATTTAAAAAAAATTAAAAAAAAAAAGAGGATAGCAGAGCCATGGGGGCAGTGGAGCCGTGGGGGCAGTGGAGCCCAGGGGGATAGTGGAGCTTGAGGGACAGCAGGGCTGCAGGGCTGGTCCACTTCTCATGGTGTGTAACGGCCAGCCCACCCCGCCGGGTGACGCCAGCCCGGCCCACGGTCTGAGGCGTGCCCTGCCTTGTGCGCCTGGCGCGGGGGTTGGGCTTGAAGCTGCGAGCAGGAACCCCCCACCAGGGATCAGGTCAGCCCCATCTCAGCTCACGCTCCACGCTGCTGACCAAGGTGCAGGACAAGGGCACGTACCTGGGACCCCAGCAGAGTCTTCGTGTAATAGTCTCGCGGCATGAACACCTCCACTATGGTGACGAGACACCAGAAAGCGTCTTCCTGCTCCAGATACAGAAGGGCCACTGCCACCAACCTGCAAGCAAATGACAGGCGGTGAGCGCCAGCCCCTGCAGCCCAGGCCACGCGGCCCGTCGGACCCCGGTACCCCTGGGTTCTCGTGGCCACAGCTCCTCCAGCCCCAGGAAACAACTTCGAGTCAGCGCTCCTAGGCTGGTGAGCCGTTTTCCTTCTCTCTTTCTCTCCTCCTTCTTGTAGTAGTCTCTGCACCCAACATGCAGCTCGAACTCATGACCCCAGGGTCAAGTGTCACAGGCTCCACCGATAGCCAGCCAGGCGCCCCACATCTGATGTTCCTGATACTTTCCAGAAAGTACGCTTGCTTCTCTTAATTACTGCAGAACTGGGGACGCCACATCATTAAGCCTAGCTGACGGCAAACCTGCTTTACGAGGCGAACCTTCCTCGGCTAGCCAGGAGGGGAGGGGACAGGCCGAGCGCCCCCCTGCTCAGACCCAGGAGGGGAGGGGAAGGCCGGGCCAAGCGCCTACCTGCTCAGACCCTGCAGGGGAGGGGAGGGGACAGCCGGGCCGAGCGCACCTGTTCAGACCCTGGCAGTAGCCAATATCAGGGTTCCGCCAGGAGAAGGCGAGCAGCACGTTGCGCAGCTTCTGGACACCCTCCGACGTGGGGCCGGAGTAGTGCCTGTTGTTGGGCAGGGTCCGCAGCAGGTCCAGCTCGATCTGCTTGGAGGCTGGGTTCTGTTTCTCCAGCGCCTTCTGCAGCAGCGTCTGGAAGTACCCGGGCTCGGTGCTGTCCTTGAACTTCCTGGCGTGCAGGTCCACACACCACTTCCACACCTTGGAACGGTGCTCGTGTGGGATGCCGGCCCGGATCAGGTTCTTCAGCTCCGGGGAGCACGCCATCTCCCTGTTCATCGTGCTCGCAAAGTAGTTCTCCCACTTGACCCCGGTGGACACCTCCTGGTTCTCCGTGAGATGCAAGGTCTTCAGGTCCAGCGCTCGGACCTTGGCCACCAGCTTCTCCTCCTCGTCGTCCTCTGGGACGGTCCTAAACCCGTAGATGTCGTACTCACTGTCGAGAGATACAGAAGGGAAACTGAATGATGGGATTCTGACGAAGACCAAAGAGAAAGAGGATCGGCCCCCCGCGCACATGGCCCTTGGGCCTGGGACCAGCCACGGGAAATCGGCGAGCAAAGCAGCAGGTTCTTGTGGCAAGGGCGGGACGCGTGGCTGGCTCTGTGGGAACACGTGAAATTAGATCTCTTCGTACTACAATAAAGATCCATTCCAGGTGGTTTAAAGCTCTTCGTGTGAAAAGCACAGAAGAAAAAAATGTGCCCAGTAGCCTGGCCACGTGGACATGGGTTTCCATGTCACGTACGTCCATGTATAACTCCTGTGCTTGGAAAATGCCATTTCAGAAGGGCAAAGACGAGGCAGAAAGCACCTGCGTAGATATCAGGGATGAAGACAGCGTAGGCGTCAGAAGCAGAACCATGGCCCCTCACCTGCGGCCGGCCATGCCATATGGCTGAAGTGCATGGCGTCCCTGGACAGGGCCGAGGGCAGGGCAGTCCCCCTGGGCTACCCTGGGCCAGCATACGTGCAGGAGCCCTTCACAGCGGGCGAGCAGGGCAGGACCGGGGCGTGCAGGCCACTGCTGCCGCCAGAGGAGGGGAGAAGGGGGCCGGAGCCCACTGATGCCCGTGGCCTCCAGAAGCGGGAGAGGCTGCGCCCAGTAGCCTCCGTGGGAACAAAGCCCTTGGTCTGCGAGCCCAGGGAGGGCGCGAGCGCATGAGGACACCCACTGAGCCCCGCAGCCTCCGGAAAGGAACAGCAGCTGTGATGCCGCGAACACCCAGGAAGGCCCAGACGGACGGCCCGCACTAGCTGAGCCGGCACACGGGCGGTGTGCAAGCCGCCACGTCGGGGACGATCCGCGAGGAGCCACAGAAGATGGACACAGGGCCTCTTGTGCCTGCCGCTGCCGGCGTGGCCCATGCGAACATGGCAGAGCTGAAGAGACGTGTTCCCTGCGTGTCGCGATCCCGCTGCGCATCCGCACTAGAGGAGCCGCACACGGGCGCTGGAAACACAAACCCTGATGCTGGCCGCCTCTCATCTGTCATGAGGAAACGTGGAAGGGCCCCACGTGTCTGCCACGAGGGAAACAGGAGCGACACCGGGGTTTGGGCTCCACCTGCATCTCCCACAGCAAAAGGGCACGAGGCCCGTGAAACACGGCTCGGAGGCCGCGTGCGTCCCCCTGGAGCACCGGGTACGGTGGGATTCGTGTATCAGGACGTGGTCAGCGAGGAGCTAGAGATACACACGGAAGCTCGTCAGGGGAGAACACCTGGATGGGCCGACGGTACCCCAGGAACAACCCTGGGGCGGGGGGGCCCAACCAGACGGACGGGAATTCCAGAGGGGGCATGGGGGGGCGGGGGGCTGGGGTCCCGGGACTCGACTCTGTGGGTCTGGAAGCTTCTGTAATGATGAACCAGACATACATCAACACGACAAACAGTAGGAGCCCACAAGTGCACGAGGGGGACACAGGCGCCCTGAGCCCCACAGACCCGGCGAGGAGGAACGTGGAAGCCGGCTGCCCAGGCTGGCGTCCTGTTCCCGCCACGGCCACTCAGGGGCAATGGCTGCGAAGATGCGAGAATGAAAACACCACCTCACCCTGTGAGAACGCACATGGTGGGGGGACCTTCCCCCTCCCTCTGCCCCCCCCCCCGGCAGCTCAGGGCACGTGGGCACAGGGAGTCCTGTGCAGCAGGGGTGAGGCCCCAGGCTGCAAGCCAGATCTGTCGCAGCAGGTCTTGCTGGAGCGAGGCTTCCCCTGGGGCGGGACCCTCAGTGGGCACCGAGCCACCGTGCCGGGCTGGCCGAGCCCTCTCCCCACGTGGGGTCCCCTCGGCTCTCTAGCCATGTATGGGAGCAGCTGTGTCTCAGGACGGGGGCCCCCACTCCTGCGGGGATGGCCGCGCAGCGGGACCGGAGCCACGCGGGAGCCCGCGGGAGCCGCAGACACCATGTGCTCAGGAGAGAGGGCCTGAGCCCGGCCCCACCGCGCACCGGCTGCGGCAAGAACACCGAGATCACCTGCTCTGGGGGCGGACGGTAAGGGTTGCGAAGGAGTAGCGGGACACACACACGCATCCACCCCCAGGACGGTGCTCCCACCCCACCCCACCCCCCGCCCCACCTGACGAGACGAGGCTTCACCAGCGCCTGCCCCGGCTGCTCCGGGCCGTCGGCCTGCAGGGCGTCCTCCAGCAGCTGCGCGATGACGCCACGTGCTGGGCCCGGTTCCTCGGAGCACACGGGCGTCTTGACCTCCTGCAGCAGGATCAGGTACTTGCTCTCCATCTGACACAGCTTGGCTTCCAGGCTGGAATACTGCAGAGAACGGGGGTCACCGCTGCCCCGATCACGACCAGGACGCAGGAGGGGCCACCCGGGGCTGTTAGCTGCCAGTGGGCGGCGAGCCCCAGCCACAGGGCGATGAGCCGGGACCGCGTGGAGGACAGGAGAGTCCTGTCGCCTCGGGCCACCTGTCACATCCGCACGGGCCACCCCGGCCCCCTCCTCCCAGGGCGCTGCCCAGAGGATGCACTGCCAGCGAGACCCCAGATGCCGACACTGGCGTCTGTCTCGCACGGCAAAGGGAGCGGCAGGAACCAACCACACGGCGGTCCCTATGGTCGTGCTGAGTGTCATGTGGCACGTGGGCTGTGAGAAGGGGCCCGTGCGGCCCTGACATGTCCCGGGACACTGTGTCCCCAACCAGCTTGTCTGCTGTGTCATCAGACACACCCCAGGACCACGTGGACGTAGGTCTGGGGAGACGCGACCCACGGAGTGCAAAGCAGGGGCTACGAGGGCCACTGAAAGCCACCGCGTGCCGGCTGCTGTGCAGGCGCTACCCTTCCAGCCACAGCGCCGACAGACACGCACACCGACGGGTTCCCACCGTCCCCGTTTACAGACGGAAACCAGGCCACACGACTCAACGGACAAAGTCACAATCCAAACCCCTCCGTTCGGGGAACCTGGGAGTCGGGGTCAACGGTTTGTCAACCCCATGACGCAGGCAGACGAGGACACGTCAGGGTGCCTCTCGGAACGCAGCGCTCTACAGCCTGTATTTTGGGTTCTTGTGCCCCAGCACAGGAGTAGGACTGGTTCAGGGTGTGCCCGCTTCTAGAGGCTTCCGCGTCCCCAGCCACCAGGAAACAGCCGCGACCCAACCCACCTTGGCCATCAGATCCCGCTCCCTCCTCTCCGCATTTCTCCGCAGCGCCGAGAGCTCCAGGATTTCCTTGTTGAGGAACTTGTTCTGGGTTTTGTACCCCTGTAGGTTATCCTGTGGGCAGAAAACCGCCGTCAGTCCAGCCCACTCTCCCATATGGTTAACGTACCACCGTGTCCCCCGAGAGCCCCACCAAGTCAGCGCGAGGATCACATCCTCACGGCCTCTGCAGCCACCCTTGGGGCAACAGAGGAAGGAGTAGGACCACGTCCGCAGGCTGTAAATGCCACCTCCTGCACTCACTGACTGTCACAAGGCCAATCCTCGTGACCATTTCCTCTGTAACTCGAGGAACAACACGTTTTCTGTGGCTCTCGCTGTCACTCAGGGGACAGAGAAAAGGCCACGCGGACACCCGGCACGCTCGACTACGGAATCACGCCCGCCCCCTGCAGCGGACCGACGCACTCCGGGAGCACGTTCCTCCCGCGTGTACATGCAAACATTTCCAGCTCCGGAGACACCAATGGCGAAGCGCGAGGAACCGGACACACCTTCGCCTAGAAGTCCCCAGCTGTTACCGTCTGCTGCGCCAGCTGTTGGCTGAGCCTTGCAGGTGGTGACAGGTTCTGCCAAGGGTGGCAACGCGCTCGCTAGAGGAGGGGAGCGTCTGGGAGGAATGAGCGCCGCCCAGCTCAGTCCTCTGCCCGCGTGCCCACCCCCCCACTCTGCGGGGCTCCCAGGGCTGCGCTGGGCCCCGGGTCGCCGGGCTATTCCTGGACCGGCCGGGAGTGTCCGCCCCTCACGGGACGGAGGCCATGCCTGCTCCTTGAGTCGTGTCCCATCTCCGGGCTGGACACCACCGTGGGAGTGGGGCTGTAATCACCCTACGACGTGCAGAGGAGCCGTAACGTCTCGACGGCCCCCTTGACCCCTAACGCCTGTGGGTCCGCAGGAGACTCGGCAGCTCCGTGAGTGAAAGCCCTTGGGCCGCTGTCTGCACGTCTCCGCTGAGAGCCAGGCCACAGGGCTCTGGGCCGCACCTGGCAGGATCACAGCTCCTGCGTCGGCAGGACCACACGTCCTGACAGGCTTCCGAGATGCTGAAGGCCGGCTCCACACGAGGCCCGGGTGCCCCAGCGCCCGTCCTCCCCTCCTGCGGCCGACAGCTCTCCAGCCACAGCCGACACACACGGAAAGCAAAGCAGACCAACGGAGGAGGAAGAGGGACGCGGGCGGGTGAGGACGGCGGGAAGGCCGAGTACGCGGCCCTCCGGTCACATCCCGTGTGACTTCATCGCGAAGCCTCTCCCCACACCAACGCCAACGACCATACAAGTGAAGCCCTACCTATGACTGCCAGGCCCCGAGTCCCCGCCGGACCCCGCAGGACCCCACCGGACCTGGCAGGACCTCCACCAGGCCCCACAGGACCCCGTAGGACCCCAAGAGACGCCGTCAGGGGAAGCCTGGTTCACAGGTGAACATGCTGGGGCAGGAGGGGGCCCGGCGCCTGGGCAGGATGCAGCCCAGCTAAGCGGCTCTGAGCCCCTCCCGTGCTCTCTACAACCATGCTGCGTCTGCTCTGTACTTTCTGACTATTGTGGGTGCCCCAGGACAGGCCGCGCACTCCCAGCACAGCCCCTGGTGTGCGTCTGAACTAACGCCCGTGAGAGTCCCGACGAGGAACAGTGGCCGGCCAAACAGCAGACCACAGGAAGACTGGCCGCACAGGCAGGGTGTGGTGATGCAGATGGCAGCCCCAGCGGTGCCCGACGAAGCCATGGGGTCCCCACACCAAGTGAGAAGAAACACAGAAAAGCCTGGCAGGAAGTCCAGAAACAGTCATGTACTTAGGCTGGTAAAATCCTATGACCCATGTGCGTTCCTTCCTCAAAATACCCAGAAACAGAAAGTGACCGCGTCCCAGAGCCAACGAGAAGCGTCAGCAGATTCCGAACAGGCAGAGTCGGAGAAAGTGGGTCGCGACCGTGACGGACGAGTGCTCCCCGAGAAACACAGGCCGTGCCTCCCCACGGAGGCGTTCTGAGTTCAGGGTCGAGGCAGGAAGTCAGTCTGGAAACTGTGCCACCGTGAGAAGCAGGGACAGCAGGAACACATGGCAGAACCCCAGTTGCGTCCGCAGCCCCCCCCCCCCCCCCGCCCAGACCTGTTTCAATTCCCACAGAGCCGCCGCAGGGACCAGAGGAGGGAGCAGGCGGCGGCAGAAAGCTCGGGGCAGCCGCCGGCCCACTCAGAGCCCAAGGCCTCGCACCCGCCCCTGAACAGCCAGCCGCACCCTCCCGCCCCGTGGCCTCTGTCCCAAGTCACCTCATCACGGTGGGGTCTTAAAAACCGTGGAGAAACACTAGAGGAAAAAGTCATAAAATCACCAAATGCATCAAAACCACCCCACCCGGCATGCCACAGAACCTACAGCGTGAATAAGGGGGACGCCTGCTCCCGATCAAGTCTGTCTGCCGTGTCCACGGGGCGCTGAGTCCCCAGCCCATGCGAGCCACTCAGCCAGAGACAAGCCGCTCGCTCCCGCGCGTCCCCGCCCAGTGTGCCCACGCGGCCCGACGCGGTGCCGTCCGGGGTGGGCGTGTTCGCTCTCGGAACTCGGCAGAGCCGCGTTGTTCCGGCCACACTGACCATGGCGGTGTGTGTGGTCCAGTCACAGAGGAAGGGGCTGGAGCTCTGCGGCTGACCTTCCAGCCTCACACGTGTCACTGAGCAGTGGTCACTCTGGGAGACCACGTGCTTGTCCCCACGACACTCCCATCAGCCCAGGGTTCACTTCTCTTCTAGAATTCTCGGAAAGACCCCTGCGCGTCTACCACCCAGCTCTGTGCCGACGAGCCAGCGAGCTACTGCTAGGCACGTGGTAGGTGCCCACTGATAACCTCGACATGCACATCTTCGCCTTCAAGGAGAACCTGCCCTCGGGGGGCCAAACACTGCTGGTGCATGGTATTTACAGAAAGAGGATACCCAGGTGATCAGCACGTTATAGCTGGGTGGGGACTGGGGCTACAGACCTACTTGGGCTGAGCCCGGCCACACTCAGGGCCTCTCTGTGGCCTGATGGCCGAGGGCACAGCCCTTGCCCACCTCGGCTCCGACCTGGACAGTCACAGTTCAGGAAGCAGCCTCCCCACCCAGGCCAGCCCCCGGCCCTCAGCGCCAGGACCCTCCCAGCCTAGGTGCAGGGACCCCGACTTGAGCAGGCCTGCCTGGGAGCCAACCCCGCACCAGCTTTTGGGAACAACGGCCCCTCGGCTCCCGCACCCCCGGGGCTGAGGCAGGCCGTGTGCGGTGCTGGCCTGGGCGCTCGTGCGCAGCGGCTGACAGGCCCCCGGGGCTACGTGGGGTAATGAAACTCTAGGGGTACAGAGCAGAAAGGGGGAGTGTCGGCTGCGACAGAAAAGGAGGAAAAGATCCAGGAGCACCCCGGGCAACGGCACGGTCAGACTCGGGACTTTCCACGGACGCTTCTCAGAGAACACCCATCACCTGCTGGCAGGTGCTGCATCCGCCCCTGAGAGGCACCGCGGCTCCGCGGAGGCCCTGGACGCCGTCTGACCCGCCCCACAGCCGAGCCCGCGCCCCACTCACCTTCAGCCTGTCCAGCTCCAGCTGCTCCCTGCTGGCAGGGGCCGGGGAGCCGGGCGCCCCCGCGGCGGGGGCCGGGCCGTCCGCACCTTCACTGAGCCGCCGCGAGAGCTTCATGATGACCTCGTCCTTGGCCTGGATGGTCTCCAGCAGCATGCCCAGCTGCTCGCTGAGCTCGCCCACCTTGCCCTTGAGCGTGCGGGCCTCCTGCTGCAGACTCTCCCTCTCCAGGGAGAGCCGCTCCAGCTGGCTACTGAGGCCCAGGATCTGGTCGTCCTTGCGGTGCAGAAGCTCAAGCACGTCCTTCGGGACCCCCTCAGAGAGCCGGCTACTGGCAAAGTACTTGTCGTACTGGGAGGACCGGACCGTCTGCTGCAGCAGCCGTACAAGCTCCTGGAGCCAGAGGGGAGGGAGCAGATGTGGTGACCACGTGAGCCGGCACCGAGGAGGCTGCGCATGGCGACCTTCCTCTTGGGGGCGCCCAGAAACGCTGGCCCCTGGGCAGAGAACAATACTAGGAAATGGGAGACGCGGGCGCGCCTTCCCCCCATGGCCCCCAGCACACACGCATCCGGGAGCTTGACCAGCAGCTCCGAGCTGCCCAACGAGGTGTCCTCGGTCTCAGAGGGCCACGGACACCACGTGGTAATGCTTCTCCCTCCTGTTACCGGAGCAGCCGGCGCTGCGCTAGGGTGGGAGAGGGCCTGGCAGCGGGAGACATACCCCCTACGCCCCCGAAACCCGCGTGTCTCTGATGCCGACATCAAACTTCCGGGGGAGAAGGCCCATCTGGGGACGGAGACCCTCGGGGGTCCAGGCTGCAGCCCCGCGGCATAGCCAGCGGTGGGGGGCACACACGGGGAGGAGGACGGCTACCTTCTGGCTGGACAGGTCCTTCTGCAGCCGCTCCAGCTCCTCCTGCTGCCTCTGGACCTGCAGTTGCACCCCGGCCGGTGGCCTGACCCCAGCCGCGCCCTGCGCCCCGTCTGCCGACGGCTCGCCGCTGACGTGCCGGTTCCTGTATGATCCGATCATGTCTTTCAGAGGGCGCTTTCCTTTGTAGGGAATACGTCCAAAATCAAAGGGAAATCCTGAGCCAGCGACTCCTGCAGAAAAACAAAACTTGTTTTCTATGTGCAGGACAAGCCGTCCTTCTGCAAACCCAGGAAAACGCATCGACCTCCCGCCTGCCATCCTCCGGGAACTTCCACGTCCGCGTGCAGCACGCACAGGTGGGGCCGCCTCTGGGCCCCGACTCGCTCTGGACAACCAAGCCCAGACCCTGAGATGGTCGCCCACCCTGGGTCCTTCCTCAGGAGACTCGCCTTGGGGTCCTTTCCCAAGAGCGTGTCCTGGCTGTGACTGCACACCTGCCTGAGCACACGTGCAAACGGGCACAGGGCCCTGGCCCCGACGAGGGATTTAGGACAAGGCCGCGGGACACCTCGCTCAAGACTCGTCTGTGACACCCGCTCTCCTGCAGATGCTCGGGTCTCATCAACAGTCTCCCGAAGGGGACAGAGACACAGCCTGGGGAGGAGCATGGTGGCTCCAAGTTCCCGCAGCGTCCCGGAAACACGGAGTCCAGCCCCCGCCACCCCCGCCGTCAGACAGCAGGCTCCATGGCAGGACTCACAGACACGGGGCCTCTGAGCTCCCTTTGCTCACCTGTTCTCAGGAAGAAAGCAAAAGAAAACCCCCAACACATGTTCTTCATCGTGAACATGTGTTTTAAAGGGTGACTATGTTCTCTTCCTTAGAAAGGGGCCTTTAAAATTCTGACAGATCCAAATAAATACCAGCATGAACGAAATCACATTCATGTTCCAACCATGGGAGGAAACATGCACCAGGAACGCGTGTTGGGATTCTGTGAAGCTGGAAAACAGACGACTCCCGGCTCCTAAGTCCGGATAGTGGCTGCCCTGGGAGGAGTAGGTGACTGGCAGGGCGGGTGGAGAGGGGACAGAGGCTGGGGGATGAGGGCTGCAGACAGGGGACCGGCGAGGGGCAGGGGCGTGGGGGACAGCGTGAGGGGCCAGGGCTGGTGTACAGGGGTGGCCCCATCCTGTTTCAGAATGTGCTGCCCACGTGGGTGCACTCACTGTGAAAACCCACGGACATCACATTTCCGACAAGAGGGACTTTGCGCACTTGAACGCAGAGGAACAGATACAAGGGAGAACAGTTCGTGCTCCACACCATGCAACATAGACACACTGCGGGGCTGATGCTCGTGGCTGGTACAGGAAGGGTCCACGAGCCCGTACGATCAGTCACAGACCCCGTGTGGCTGCATGTCTGGCCCGGGGAGTTTCCAGCCCACGCGAGCCACTCAGCCTCGCAGGCCTTCCTTCCTGACCGTGCTCGCAGGTCATTCCCAGAACCCCAGCCCCCGGCTCGGGAGGTGCTGGCGTGGGCCCTCGGCAGGAAGCACAGCACGCCCGGCCCGCCCGGCCCGCCACCTTCACACCGCGTCCCACGGGACTGGGCCCCACACCACGACCCTGCGAACACAGGCAAGCCCCCGGCACAGCGGGCCAGGACCACCCTCCGGGGGACAGGAGACATACTTCCTTGAAATACTTGTGCTCCCGGTAAAGATTTCGTAAGATCCTGCTCCTCCTCCAGCCCCCGCTACAATTGAGCACGAGGTAGAATTTCTAAATTATTGTTGTTCTACATGGAAACATCAATGTTCCCTCGTGGATCGCTGGATGGGCACAGAAGTGGCCACAGAGACAGGGTCCGGATGATGACTCCTGAACCCTGACCTCCCCAAAACCAGTGGGGCCACACGCGACGTGGTTCCCACCGTGGGGCCGGAGGACACGTGGCCCCAGAGACCCACCACAGCGTGTCCTCATCCGAGGAGGTCAGCCCCGTGACCTCATACAGGGCACGCGAGGAGCAAGGAGGGACCTGCCGTCCGGAATGTGGGACGTCCTTGGCACAGAGACCGTCTCGGCCACACGGATGCCGAGGCCCACGGAGGATGGGGACGGGGAGCTGCTCAGACGCAATGAGGCCATCGCACATCAGCGAGGAAACCCGCCTGCAGGCCTTGTCAGTGCCTCATGTGACTGGGGACGTGAGCGTGCAGCCATGGAACCAGGGCAGGCGTGACAACTGGACTTACAGCTGCTGTTTCTCGGTACAATAATGAGCCATCATAAGTTTTAAATTTACACACAGTAGATTAATGTCTAGAATTTACGTTAAACCCGCCCCGCCCAGGGTGAACATGGGACAGGTGGGGGCTTGGAGAGAGTGGCCCTAAGTTCAAAACCGTGGGGGCCACACAGGGCTACAGTGGAATCCACGACCCTGTATGTTCTACCTTCGTGTAGACACGTGTTCTGTAAAAAAGGGTTTAAAAAAAAACAAAAATGGTATATCCGTGAAGAGCGCTGCAAGTTCCGGACGCCCCACCTCCCAAGAAACCTCACGAGTCACAGGCTGGGGTTCTTCCCTGTGACACCTCACCCTGCAGGCCCGCAGGGCTCATCCCCCTACAGACGCGGCTCCTGCTTCCAGAAAGGCTGGGACCGCAGAGAGGATGGGCGACCGGAACCACGTCCGTACCTTTGTTTCCTTCTGGGGCCGGCTTCTTCCTCTCTTCCTGTGCCATGGACTCCTCTAGCTCCTTGGGGTTCGGGTCTAAGAGCTCCCACTCTTCGTTGGTATAAAACACACTCTTCCGACTGTCGCCATGTCCTCTGCCAGGACGGAGAGACGACATGGAGTTTCTGTTGGGAGAAACAAGGTGAGGTATGTGAGATGCTGCAGAGAAAACTAACTTCACGCCTACAGGGACGGCAAGCACCAGCAGCTATGACATCATGAGTCAGGAGGGAGTGCAGAGAGGGACGGCTGGTGGGTGCTGCGGGCGGGGGTCTGAGTCATGGGAGTCACACAGGGGTGCCGTTGGCAAGACCCAGTTAAGGGGAAGGGATCCACCCCAAGACCCTGCGTGTCCCAGATTCCCGGGCGTGGTCATGAGACATGGAGGACTGCTGCGCCGTTGCGTGGACCCAGGTGAACGTGGCAGCCAAACACCTGTCCACAGGAGAACAGATGCGGTGGGCCGAGTGTCAAGGCACCATGGAAGGGAATCTGTCCATTCCTACGTCACTAGCGCCCGCCGTGTGCCAGCCACGACTCCAGCTCGGGAGCCACTGAGCCCGGGACACAGTCCTGCCCTGGTAAACACGTCAGCCACAGACCCTTGTTGGGAGAGAAGGGTCTTTAGATGCCGAACAGAAGGAAATGGGACAGTGACGTGTGCAGTGACGGTGATGGTGTTTCCAATCCTTGCGGGAACAGGGGTCACAGACGCTGTGCCTGTATGTGTGGCAAAACCACGAACGCCGGGACACAGGGCCCCGCTGCCTCCGTGAAGGGCAGGTTGCGGACTGCAGCCGGAGCACGGGACACGCAGACAGCAGGGCGGCCCGCAGAGTGGGACCCGGCCGGCCGGGGGGCACCGCCGAGGATCCCCGGTGAGGGGTTTACCCACAGAATGAGAACACGTGTGTGTACACAGGGTCCGCACGTGGACAGCCACAGCTGCCTGATTTCTCACACAAACGTGTCCCCGCAGGCGGGTGGCCCCGGTGGGACACGTCCACACACACCACACACTGTGCAGCAGAGAAGGGGAACCACGAAACACTCGTCAGCGCAGAGCAGTCCACAGAGGACAACCACGAAGGACCACGCACAGCCCGGCCATGTTCACAAGGCAACAGTGACAGAGGGCGGAGCGGCGGCTGCGGTGACAAAGTGCCCAGCGTCGGTCACAGCGGCGTCTACACGACCACGCACGGTGTTGGACATTCACTGGCCTGGACACGGATCAGGCGGAGTTTCCCGCAGGTCAGTCACACCTCGGGGCTGCGGCTGAAGCGCAGAGCAGGGAGGAGCGTGTGCCGCGTGGGGCTCTCCGAGGGGACGCGGCGCGGGTGCTGGAGCGGGGCTGTGGGCCCGCGGGGGGCAGACTGACCACACCCACATGGACCACGGCCATTGGTCAACGTGCTGTTTGTGATCAAGACTGGTTTTGGCTGATTCCACCGCATTGAGCTGCTCTAGATGTAAGAGCCCAGGGGACCAGTGACGGCGACATTCCCGCTGCCGCCTCCCGACAGGCACGCACGGCCTTCTGCTCCGGCACGAGTGCCCAGCCGACACCCGCCGCGTGTGGTCTCAGCGTTTCCTCCAGGCCTCGAGGGAGCCGCTGCCCACGTGCTGCTTGTCCCCTAGGCTCTCCTCTGGAGGCCGAGGCGTGTCCGCGCCGATGCCCACGACCGCCCACAAGGACACGCACAAGATCCCACAGTGCTGCGGGATGCTGCGGAGAAGAGCAGCTCAGGACGGAAAGCCCACGCCCACGCACGCCCACGCACGCCCACGCACGCCCACCCGATACACTCTACTCCTTTCCGCGACAGGCCAGAGGCCGCTGTGCACGGGCCCACAGCTCTCACAGCGGCTTCGGCGGCCGTCAGTCGCCCGCGTCACCATGGACCAGAGCGGTTACCAGCTCTAGGCGCAGGTCCTTCCTGGGGTAAGCGCAGGAAGGAGCCCCAGGGCAGGAGGGACGGACGTGGACGCTGCCAGGAAAGAACAGCTCTTTACCCAACTTAGGCCGTCCCTGCACAGCCACACGTGCCCCTGCCCTGCGGGGAGGCCCCCACACCAAGCCCCAGGGGAAGAGGAAACAGGATCAGACTCAAAGCTCGAAGTCCTTGACCCGAAGCACCAAAGAGCCTGTCCCCCGCTTGGACCTTCCGTGCCTGCGCCTGGGGGGCCGCAGAGCACGCTGTCCTCAAACCACACCCCCGCTCCAGCGGCAGACAGCCCCCCACCTGCGCCACCCCACGCAGCTCATGGCCGCGGAGATGGGGCCCTCCCGTTGGAGACTTGGGGCCCTTCACGGAGAGAGCCCGCTCTTCACGAGACCTCAGAGCCGCTCCCTGTGTCCCCCGGGACCATGCCGGGTGCGGCTCTGGTGCGATAATTGGCGGAAACGCACAGTGAGGCCTGCCAGCGGCGGCAGCGCCGGGATCCCCAGCAGTGGCCGTTCCCAAACGGACACGTTTCAGATCAATTTCTCCCCCGTCCAGCAAACACAGGCCACGTCGGGGACGCCGACACAGGGGCCTCCCCCAGGAACAGGTCCCTTCTTCGGGCAGGTTCTCACAGAGACACAGACATGGACGAGCCCGTCAGAAAACACCGTCTGAAGTGATGAAAGTCAGAAACAGCCAGAAGGGGCCTGCGGAGGAGACAGGGGCCCGGAAACACGGCCCTGGGCGTCCTCCCGAGAGGGTGGCGTGGGCACCGTGACACAGCCATACCAGGACGGCCACCCCGGGGACTGATTTTGGACTTGGGGCTCCCGGTGTGGGAGAAAGGGCCGCTGCTGCTTCCAGGCTCTCGTCTGGGGCGATGTGCTCCAGCAGCCACACACCCTTCCTCGTCCCCGCGCGAACCCTGGCCGGCTCGCAAGTCTGGAACCACACGTGTACGGTTCAAGCAGCTGCACTGCCGCCAGAGTGACGTGGGAACGTGGTCACAGGGGCCCCTGCCAGTGCCCGTCTACCACACGTGCACAATCGAGCACGCAGTCCTTCACTTTGGGGCACGTCACGTCTACAATAGTGTGTCCTGCCCCAAAACCCCCCCCCCCCCCCCCGAGCAGGAGTCATCACACCGGCGAGCCCCCAGGCAGGGGCAGCGGGTTGGGTCCCCCCGCCCGACGCACAGACCTGGCATCCACCCCCGTCTGGGCCCCTCCCTGCACCACCTCCACTCAGCACCTGAACTCCCGACACACGGACCTGGGGACTCAGGAAACCTGCTCTCATGGCCGCTGCGTCGCACACAAACCCCTCGTGCAGGTCCCCCGTGTGCTCCAAGACCTGAGTCAAAACCCATGTCCTGCAGAGTGACCCCCCCAACACCTCCAAGTACACAGGTCAGGGGGCAATGACCGCGGGGTCAGCCCTCAACGGCTCCCCACGGCCTCGTGCGTGAGGCCCCACCCACCGCCACCCTCCCTGACGGCAGCGAGCGGCCGGCTCGGACCCATGGACACCCTCAGCCCCAGCCTGTGCGGAGATCACGAGAGATCACAGGGGACGAAGGGGACTAGGACGACGGCAGGCTGCCTGGCCAGGGCGGGCCTTCAGAGCCTGCTTCTCAGGTGTGAGCGGTGGCCCTGTCAGGCCACACAGCTGGATCAAGGAGTCACGAGGTCAGCTCCAAGGGCCGTGCCGGGCATGTTGTCATGCACCCAAAAACACCATTTGATTAACACCGATACTCCGTGATATTATGTCCGGGTTTCACGCGCTTCCCAGCAGCACACGTTACACACGAGAGGTGACTCTTCGCTGTGGATTTCTGGGCAAAGAGGGGACGGGACGCTGCATGGGAAGCAAATGTCGTCCCAGGCGGCCGAGTGGGACGGTGGCCCCACAAGCACTGGCCAGCCCGGCAGGACTGCACGGCACAGGTGCAGATAGGTGGGCGCTGAGGGCCGCTACCCCGGGGCATGGCAGGAGCCAGGCCCTCCCCTCGTCAGTCCTTCCCAGCACGCGCCTGGTAGTGCGTGATGTGCTGGGGACACACGGGCTCACGTGGGACGTGGGCTACGGGCCAGAACGCAGAGAGATGTGGCGACCACCAGTGTCAGGACAGCTGTGGGGGAACGTGTGGGCTGACACACGGGGTGGGGGGCAGAGCATGGCCAGGACTCCCCAGGAGGGAGACTCGCCCGGCAGAGGGAGGGCAAGGCAGGGCCCGGAGGAGACAATGTTTGAACAACTAAGGGAGCCAAGCAGGCCGGCGACACGGCTGAGCCCACGGGATCTCAACAGCCAGGTCCAGAGCACGGCCTTCTGCCAACAGCAAGGAGGAGCCTCTGAAAGGCCTGTGGCAGTGGGAAGGATGGATCCTGAAACAGGAGGGTCCGCGACAGGCACACGGTGCACATGGGGTCCCCTGCCAGCCCCCAACTCCAGACACAACAGGATGCATGGCCCGTCACGCCCTTGGCGGCCCAGACAAGGCCGTGGTGTCCTCAGGTCGTGTCCCACCCGCGCTGGGTGACTGAGCACACTCTCCGGTCAGGTCTAATGGTCTGCGGCTCCTCTCGGGGCCACGGTGGTCTCCGCGGTGCGGCCTCATAGGGTGGCAGGACCTCCGGGGGCAGCACGGCCTCCCGGGGTTCCCGCCCTTGCAGCGTGGGGCCAGCCGAGGTCGGGAGACGGCTGTGCTGAGCAGGCCCTCACATGCCCCGGGGCTGCCGGCCCCCCACCCTGCAAACACCACACCCCACACCACGCTCATCGCACACGAAGGGTTTGTAGGTTATTTTTCCAAGGCCTGTGCTGAGGCTGTGGCCCGTCTTTCCTGCACAGACCGAGCTGTGCCTGCAAGGAAGACCCCAGATACACATGTCACAGCTCTGGCGTGGCCTCCCCACATTCACCAAACATCTGGGGGCGTGGTCCCAGCCAGGGAGACTGCAACGGCGCCCAGGATGGCCAGCCGCGCACACAACTCACTATGCCCACGGCCTGCAGGGCAAGAGACCGAAGGGCCCACAGGGGGGCGGGGGGACACCTGTCAGAGGCAGGCCGGCAGGACGGGCAGGCACTCCCAGCCAGCTTGGTCTCCGCTGCCGCCAGCTCCCCTACGGGAAGCTCTGCTGCACCCACGGTCTCCGCAGACATGGTCA